AATATATTAACATGTTTAAATATCTCAAAGAATCACTATAACCTGTGGACCTTCAAAGAGCACTCATTGGATGTATAACGCGGGATCGCGGCGCCGGTGTTATTCTACTGTCTTTCTCCGCGAAGACACTGAGCCGAGACGACCCTGACAGCATATGCGTGCGTCGTTCGTGTTTATATCGAGCACTGCAAATGCGTACGCCGTCGAGAGCTGCACCTGGCAGCGCCCACGAAAAAACAGATTAAACGATCGTCTTCCCCGCCCCGTCCGCGATTGATTCACGTCGCGTAAAGCTCGCCTTTGCGCCAGTTGCATCTGCGACGAGGTGCATGTGCGGTGCGAAACTATTAACTGTTTCCCGCCACGTGTTATCGGGAACGAGATATAAGAAATGCCGCGCACTCGGTGATCGTCAAACGTTTGCATCGGATCGTTGAATGCAATCGGGAGATTGCAGATTCGGGACTGTCCGCAAAAGCGAGGATAACAACAAAGATTGACGACTTTTGGAAATAAGGTAATGCGAATAGCAGATAAGAGAAGTTACGATTAGAATTTATGCAATATCTTCGACTATCATCCACCTATTTTATTTTATTATTTGCATCTGAATAAACAGATGAAACAAACAGAAAGACCTTCGCGGTTAAAAATAGAAATCCCAAGTGAAAATGAAAATGAATGACAAGGATTTTCAAGTAACGCGAGAAGCGTAACGCGATATATCGTCATCTTCACTTAATATAACTTATTCTTTGTTATGAGCTGACAAAGCATAAAACACTGTCGTACAGTGCACGTGTCAAAATTAACATCCGCAGCGTAGGCAGATAATCGTAGCATACTACATCTTTTTATATGCTTATTTATGTCATGAAGCATTATCTCTGACATGGGCAAGCAACATGGTGCTCTAATAAATTTACGTCATTTTTCGTTAAATATTAAATATTTATCAAATTATAATATTTCAATTATGTCTTTATCATCAAGTATTATCAATATCTTGTTGTATAAATTTTACGCACATTATCTAATTAAAAACAAAATAACTGTCTTCCCTAATTATAACTCAATACTTTTTGCGATTTTAATTAAACGATGTAAAATAATAACAAAATTTTGAATAAATCAATCCCCATAAAAAAATGAAAAACAAATTTATCAAGTAATTTGCACAACATGTGTATCATACTATTTTATTTACGTACACATTGTAATGCAATTTAAGTTCTAATCAACAACTCGTTTTATATTCATTATTTTCGTATTTTTATGATATTTGCAATTTCAGGTTTTATGGTTGGCCTTTAATCATTGCTTTATTATCCTTAGCTTTTCGTTTTACTGCTTTGATGAAATTTTTTATTGTTTTTAGATTTTATCTGGTAACAATTGAAATTTATCACTAATAACCTGATAACAAAGATAATTCAATAAATTAGAAAAGCTTGATAAGAGAAGCAACATATTTTACTAATAATATTCTCTGCATAAACCGAGATAAAAAAAAGATTTCTTCTTATTGTAAATATATTAATTTACAAATCACCTCTTTCTCGTGTCGTCGAAACACAGTAATAGATTCAGTAATTATTGCTGCTATTCATCAGTAATATTATGGTCACTGTCACTATCGCTATTATCTTTCATATAATCCAGAGCTTTCAGGCGTGAGAAATTCGCCCGTAGTCGTATCATCCCGACAGAGGAGTCGAACACGTGCAAAACTCTTCATTCTATGAAACAGCTGCTTCAATTCCAGAATTAAATCACGATTAGCATGATAATCAAGCCGCTTCTACGAGCGTGAACGTGGAATACTGATAGAAACGCGGCCGTGACAGTTACACGATCGATGTGTGAATATTGAAGGTGTACGGTCGCCGCTATATATTAATGCAGTTATTTCTACCGCGAGAGACTTACATCCTAGACAATAATAGTGACACTAGACTTTTGTTCGCAAAGTGCATCATTTATGCACGACTTGCCGTTTGTTTGAAGTTTTTTTCGATCGCCGGTATTATTCGCAATCAATCATAAACTCAGGTAATCGAGACTTGAAGGGCAAAAGGTGAATTTTTTACATATTGACATAAGCGGAAGATTAGAAAAGGATAGGCGACGATAGGAAACACGATAAGAACTTTTGTACACGTTAAATATCTCGTTTTCTTATTCAGTATTTAGAATTTTCAGAATTCAGAAGTGAAAATACGTATTTCATTTCTCGCTATACTTTCGTACGTTTTATCATGACATTACCTACTTAGCATTAAAGTTGCTCTGATTACGGTTGATAAACGTGAGAACGAAGAAATCAAGAATGTCGACACAAAAGGAAATTAGTAAATGTCTCAGAGGAAGAAGATGATTACACGAGGCAAGATAAAGATATCTTAATAGACAATATTATTACGTTTGTTTCTTAGGAAAATGAGAGTATACTTTTAGATAAAAAAAAGATTTCCACTAAATTCCAGAAGCTTAGGATTAAGCGGAATAAGTTTCCACTAAGCTAAATGACTTCTCATATTCTGAAGCAATCAAGTAGATGAAAACTACTATTCAATTATGTGAACATTATATGCTTTTGAAATAAAAAGGAAATTATTATCATTAAAATTAAAATTAAGAAATCAGTTTAAAATCTTCGTAAAGATACATATTAAAAATCGTTTTGTACGATACATGAAATCTTTATATCATTTATATTTTTTAGCCAAATTTATGAATTATGTTAAAGATATATTAAAATTTATACGATATTTGATGAAATATCTACATCAAGTCCACATTAATATATGAGATTGTGCATAATGAAATATCATAAATTTATTATTTTAAAATAATGTATAATTTAATTACTAATAGTGGTATATATATGTTTAATAGTGTGCACATATAATCCTGTGCTCGTGTTTTCCGTAATATAATACATATAATCCTTGATATGCACTCATCTGGTATACAATGGTATAATTATGTGAAAGCTAAATGTAATTTAACGGAAATGTCAGCATTACGTTGGTCGAATAAATCCTCCCAGCATACATTTTCGCTTCCCTCAATTACTATTAAACATATTCGCACAATCAATTCTGTTAAAATATTGTATTTAAACTTTACGTCTGTCTACATTTCCTCTTTTCTGATTTGTAATCAACCCGCAATCAGCTTTATACCCGATTGAACAAAAACCCGAAACGATTTCGACACCTGTCTGAAACTTTTCTCATTTTCGCGTGTAGTCATGAAAATGCTTCTAAGGACCGTCAGCTATCACGGTTGAACGTAACGATTCTATACATTTATTCAACGATGCACTCCACTAAAAGTTACCGAGTTTCCTATGTAAATGAATAGATATAGAACGGATGAAACGTAGATTGAAATGCAATTATACAACGTTTCGTACTATCAGTTAAATGGTAAATAATCAATCAATTGAATAAGCTCTGATAAGATATTTTTGAATGAATGTTGAAGGAACATGTTTTTAACAAAAACAGATACTAATTTTAATACGAAAAATGCGATTATTTGAATAAAAACTTGGGAAATTTTTTTTCCTTAATACATATTGTGCAAATTTTGTATTTACAAAATATTATTTTCGCTAATGTATTATTTTTTTGTACATATCTCCATTTTGTTGAGATTTAGATTTAGAAGAATGACTTTATATTAGCGTCACTAATGTCACGTCTTTTATCAGCCATAAAATTTAGAGCATCATCAACGTAAACTTACGTTGTAAACGAAATAGAACATTAAATCTTAACTATGTCGTCTCTGACCCTACTAGATTTTACGACGTAGTAAATATTTATGCACATACACACACATTTTTTATTATTACTAACAATAAGCGTGAAACAGACAGTAAGATACCGCGTTGAGATCAAACATACAGAATATGTAATGTTTCTTAATTTGCTGAATGGCATTATCTGAAATCTCAATGATTATGAAATTATCTATACGAATGAAAACACAGTTAAGTTAGAATTCACTAAATTCATGCTCCGAGCGAGGGCTTAGCGAGGGCGTTAAAATTTATGTATCTCTCACGAGGACAGCAAGATGCGTAAAAGCTACGATAATTCTCAAGCAAGGACAGATACAATGTCACGAAATATAGATAAAAATATCTATATTATAATTAATTAATGCGAATATTGCGAGAATTCAGAGATTTCATTATAAAAATATTAAATGACAATTTAAAAGTCTAATTTAAAAGTTATATAGAATGTAATTTAATAAATGAAACAACATTTTTATAAAAAAGAAACCAATTTTTTCAAAATTAATCAAAGAATTTTCATATCTATTTTGGCTTACTATTTCTATTATTATACGTTATATATTTTTCATATTTTAATCAGATTTTATAAAATGATAAATTAAATATGTATTCACGTATATATATATAAATATGCGTATAAAATAGAGATAAACTACACTGAAAGCTAAATATAAGAGTGTCTGAAATAAATAATATGAAACTTAATAGCATGGAAGCGGGAGGAGAAAGATGAGGAGGAAGCAGTTGCGAGTAAAGTGCCTCCGGCTGAGGAAGTTTAATTATTATTAACTCGCGTCGGTAGTTGTGAGCGGTCGTGGACAGACGCCCACGAAATATTTCGCGTCGATGCACGCTCGTGGGTACGTTTGGCACCTTTTACCGCCACCAAAATGAGTAAACGGAGGGAACTTTCAATATGCATTAATTGAACGGAATACGAGAATTCGATATTAATAACAAAACTAGAAATTGATTTTTATCAATAAAATGCCAGGCTTTCGAGAAAAAAATTTATTCGTCAAAAGCAGCACGCTTCGAAAAAAAAAGAATAATGTGACGAACAAATGGACTCGATAGCATTTCTGCCGGCTGGAAACTCGTTAGTGTGTTAATAATAAAAATATGCGTCCATTGACGCAGCGAGTGCATATAAAGAGTCATCGTCGCATCACAATAATTAAATCAGACGTTTAATTTATTTGTGCAGACCGTGGATGCAGCCGAAGGCCAGCAGTGGCGGGGCCCACGCGGGCGGGACAGGTGACGATGAGGCCCCGAAAGATCCGGGCGCGCGGATCACTCATCAGTCTTACACGGAAAAGGATTATGAAGGTAAGAAACATTCATCAGATGCTTCCGGATTCGCTCAGAGTTAATGAAAGTTAAACGCTAACTTTCTTTTTCATTATATTATAAGGCTATGCTCTAAAAAAGAATAAAAACTTATCGACGAAAGTTATTAATTATCAATTCATGAAACAAGGAGTTTTATAATTTAAAAAGTATTAAGACATTTGACATTGAAGCTAAAATCGGAACTACTCAGCAAAATATAGGGAACTGTCGATTCACTCATATCAAATCGTTATATTCGACCTACTGAATTCGCGTCCTATTTTTGCAAATCGCTGTTATAAGCACATGCGAAACGCTAGATGGATTTTCCTCTTGTTATTCTGAGCATTTCAATGGAAGCTAATAATGACACATGAATATTTCATCGACGATGTGAGCTAAATGTGTTTGATTTGTTACGCGAGCGTTATGGAAGAATAATATTTAACCGGCGAAGAAGGATACGTGAAATAATGCGGGAACGATAGTTCCGATGATACTTGGCACGAAACTCATATAAAATTTCCACAACTGCGGATATCTCATTAGCAAACGGATACAAGGCGAGCTTCTGCTGAAACATCAGGTCTTCAACACGCAATGATGTGTCTATAGGTCAGTCCGATACGAATCTGGCTTCAGTGTTTGCTCACACGACGACACTCGCGCGTATAGGTGCTTCGAAAATCGTTACTTCGTTAAACAACGCCGGCTATGGATGGACAGTGACGAGGTCACCTCGTATCCATCAACGACGATAAAACATACGAATAGGGGCCGTTACGTGTCGCAACGATCTTGTACGGTAGACGCTGAACTTTTTAACGAAAGAAATTGATCGCTCCGCCCGACAAGTGTTTCTTCATTCGATGTGAATCATTGAAGTTTCGTTGTAAGCTTCATTAAAGTATGTCGGGGGGTCTTCAAAACTAAAGTTCCACGTGGCTAATATTTATAATTTATAAATCTTCAACTGTGCTTCGAGATACAAGCCAATATTTTTTTGCTAACAGGTATTTTTTTTAAAGAAGCCTAGACTAAAAGGTAAAATTGTTATTCTGTTATCTTTTTTTTTATATATAGATAAATAGCTTCATAATTACTTTATGGAAAAAGTATAATATTTTTATATGTATCGTTAACTGTACATTAAAAAATTAAAATATATGCGCGAAGTCAAAGTTTGAAAAAAATATCTATAAAATTGTACACATGAATGTATTACAAATAACATTTAACCTTTCTAATGCTACTTTGATATCACATGCCATGATCATAACTTCAATGTGCTTGTTTATGTCCATATACTTATCTATAAACGTAAATTACGTGTATTTGTGATACTCTCATAACGAGTAACAATTTATCTTAATACATATCTATTTATCCACCTAGATATCTGTCATATTCTTTTTGTAATATTGTTATTATGACATAATTCTGACATAATATCAAAGTGATAATTTGTTAATAAACGCGCAACCATAAATGAAAGCGCATTTCGAATATATCTATCAAAGTTTATGACGGCGCATCATGGATGTCACTGTAAAATATATCAATATTGAAAGGTTTCGTTATTAATATCAAGAAAGTGCGAATAATAGATGCATTAATATATGTCATCGCTCGCACAAAGTTCAACCACTCCCCCGCGAATCACTACAAAATCAGCGCAGGCCTGTTGACCTTTTCGCTTATACGAGCGCGCAACACGCGAACGTACCGTAACTCTGCGTTCGAACTATAATCCTCGTGTAGATTAATCTCATCCAGGAAAACACGAGAATCCTTTCATCCGCCGCCAGATCTGCTTTTCTCGCGCGCGCAAGTTTTCGCAGGTGGAATAACGTGATCGAATAACGCCGTTCTAAATTCCTTCCCTTCGCACTTTCGACAGAAAGTGCCCCGATGTGCACGTGTGCTCTCGTCGAGCAAGAATCGTGCTGATACTCGCGAATTTCCGATAGCGGGGGTTGAGAGGCACTGACGAGGCATCCCCTTTCATCTGCTTCCAGGTCACAGAGCGCATACGGTGTACGTGGGCGTGCATCTGCCGGGGGAGAGAAGACACCGTCGCCACCATAAGCACCATCATTCACAACGGCAGTCATACCCTTGCGGTAAGGAGGATGCCGACAACGACAGGCCAAGTAAGTAGATCGTTTCTCCCTTTCTCTCCTGCCTGACCCGTCCTCGCGATTCTCATCGATAATGGTGTCGCACTGTGCGATACTTTGTTCTCTATTCAAACTCTGTTCAAACACTCTGTTCAAACTGAGCGGTGACAAAGTATCGTATAATGCGGACACCGTGATACCTCTATGCAGACGCGATAGGTTTTCCAGATAAATTCCGAGCATCGCTTTCGCTGATTATTAACGTCAAACGTATCATCTTTTAATGTGTCATCAATACATCAGAGTGTACTGAGAGATTTTATATTGAACAGATATGATATGCTTCATATCTTTTGATCTACATTTTCAATCGACGATTGAATATATAATTTCTTTGCACGCTGTATTCGTATATTATTACATACCATAACAAATATTAATGTATTGTTCGACTGTTATCGTGTCGTGTTTCCTGTCAATAAGCGAATGTTTCAAATTCTGTGGCTTATTAATACCGGCGTTGTGACACAAAGCGCGAATTCTTGTGGGCATACCTACAAATATTAATTACATGTGTGTGATATTTTCTAATTTCGCGAATCACAGCTTGTACAAGAAGAAATTAAATGTCAAATAGCATCGCGTACGAGTGCATATAACGCGAAAAAGTTTTTATTCCATTATATGAGTGAAAAAATTAAGAATTCTCGGTACGAACATTAAGTACCTCGAAATTACCAGAAGCAAAAAAATGTTGTCAAATATGTAACTTACCAATTAAAATTCATATAGAATCGTTTGTACAGTCATGCAAATATAAATTCTCCGCCTTTGTGTTTTCACTGTTGAAAACAGGCAGTCGGCAAATATAAAAAGCACATAGCGCCAATCTAAAAATGAAACCAGGGCCTTCAACTCCACATTTTCGTGGCGACGCGAGCTTCGCATTTCGCGACGGCATTATTATTTCATCCTTGCGATTTTAATCACGCCTCAAATATTGCGATGATTACGTTACACGGCCTTGTTACGCTGATTGTTTTGCAAACTTGCACTATTTTTAAGCCGAAATTAATTGGGAATGCTATATTGTGACAGTTTACATGTGACGCGTTGCGCCTTTGCGGCTCTATCGAACCGTACATGGCAACGCGCCAACCACTTGTCGAGACTTATCCGGGTGTTCACCCTACTTTTGATGCACCGAGTGCAGAAAGACAGTCGATATCGAGTTGCTCCAGCAACCTTTCAGTTCTTTAAATATTTTTACGGCCAGATATATTAGAGCCCCAGAAAAATTTTTTCTATTTTATATTTTATGCTCAGAATAACAACGTTAATATTTATTAATTTAGAGAATTATTAACAATAATTATTAATTAATAATTATTTTCATAAAATTAAATGGTGTAAAAATTACCGAGTTAACCTTTAATGAAAATTTAATTTTAATCTGTATTTGTGATTGCATTGAATATCCATGACCTTTAATTTTATTTTTGCATGTTATAAGAATAATTAATTGAATATTCTCGCAAATCAATCAATCAATTAATGTTTGCAAATTAAATGAATAATTTAATAAAAAACGATGTACAATTTTTAATAGCTATTTATTTTTTATACGCATTTATGTTTTTGATTGAAAAATAGGAATTCGTTATTGTGTTTTTTTACGATATTGAACATATCTCGTATTATTTTCTTCTAAAATCGATCAAAGTTAGAAGCGCTCTTCGTGTTAAAAAAATTTTTATCGAAGCCCTTCAAGAAGCTCTTCAAGAAGTACATTTCTCGACAACTTTCATGAAACGCAAGTCAAAAACTCGTTGCACTTTCTTTGGCAACTATAGCGCTATCCATTTAATTTCTTCTGATGTTAAAAGCAGCAAAGCATCTCGACCGCAATATCACTTTTATTACTTGCAACACTTTCATAATAACAATTTATAAAGATTAAATATTAATTGCCAAGAAGTGTACGATAATATTGTTCAAAGATTCGAAACCCAAAAAATAGCAACTAAGAATGACATTTTTCTGAAATATTTTCTAAAGAAAAATTGAATCCACTTTTCTCAAAGAATCTGACAATCTTAAATAAAGATTGACACTTTTTGAAACATGCTAAGTATCTAACATATCAAATATTATTTATGTCCATTATATTTATCAAACATCTTGTTTATAAAACTTTTATTACTCTTAGATTTTAAATGTTAAACGTTTCCCTAAAAGTGCTGAAATGTATATTTTCTCTTTTTCCACTTCGTATTAATTTCTCTAGCGTTATAGATTGAACCAATTAGTATGAGATCTCAAATACAACTTAATTGCACTTAGATAGCTTACTTTATAAATTAATATCGAAGAATTTTGTTTATAACTTTCTACTGAACCGCGCTGTATTAGTCGCTGTTCCGTTTATTTTCTAATTGAGCTATAGATGACGGTTCTTCAACTTTAATTGGACACGCGAAAGAGTTTTCCGGTCTGTTAAAAATTTGTACTCTGTACACTAGAAGCCAGTTTATATTGACGTATAAACGGTTTAAATTTTTTAAATAAAATAATTGAAATTGCAATTTATTTAATACATATATTAACACGTAGATTTAAAAAATAAATACGAGTTAAATATAAAACCAAATATAGATAAAAAAGTAAATATTATTAACAAAAATAATGATGATGTGTAAGAAAAATTTCTAATTATTGTTATCTAATCTTTGGAATAAGTTAGATACAGTTATGTGAGAGATCCGTTATTAAAATAATAAATAAACTATTAAATTTCATGATTTATTCAATAAATATTTTTTAAATATATTATAATAAAATATAAATCGTGAAAAGAACAACTTTTTTTAAATATTTTTTACGTATTTTTTTTACGTACGTGACATAAATGTCAAATCTTTGAGTGAACTTTCATTGCATTTAAATTATTAGCAAAACGTCAAGAATTTTAAAATAAATTAGTTATCAAAACAAAAATAAATAAGTTGGATTTCTTTGATCCCAGTACATTTTTTTACTAATGTTAATCGATAGAATATAACTTTGTTTAATGTATTTCAAAAAATTAGAAATTTTTATTCAATATTATTACTTTTATTCGTCTATTCAATCCCTTTATAATAAGCATTCAGTTTGATTTTAATAAACTGACTTTATGCATGTATTAGATAAAAGATATTTTTAATTACAAACGGCTAAATTTGTGTAATTTTTTATTTTTGTAATTTATGTAAACTCAGAACATAATGGGAGACTAATAAAAAAAATCCGTTAATAACTAATAATTATAGAGAGAAATAAATAATTTACTTTATAGAAGGATGAAAAATTTTTAATTTCTTGTAAGAAAGTTTCGCAAAAAATGCAATTCTTTTTTTTGCAATTTTTTGTGATCCGTATATCAGTATCGTGAAATGTGTGAATATCAAGTCTCTCGAAAATCGACGTTTTTTTGCGCGGTCCGAATGACACGGCAACACCGTTGACATTGCAGGACAATTGTTGATGGCGCGCAGGGGTCGCCTCGCTAGCATCTGCGACCCCGCCGGCGAGATGATATGTAAGCCACCCTTATGCATACATACAAGATTTTTTTATGTACAAATATTTAACGCAGGACCATTCGTGCATCCTACTACGCGACGCGATTCTTCGGGTTTTCGCCGAGGATCTCACGTGCTCGCCGTCGATTATACACGAGACATTAACGAGGCCAATCGCGGACGATGCTTACATTAAGATCGTATCGCACGAAAGAAATTATTTCGATCAAATGTTTAAGCCTAAGGTAGTGGCCTGATAAGATATAAGGTAGTGATAATCGTGTCACGTGCATTGACATTTATCAGATACGGGTAGCTCGTACGTTGCGTCGATATCCGTCTTAACTCGTTGATTATCATTACATGAAGGCGATTGTATGTAATGTTACTATACCGCACATAGTTACGGCAAAGTGCCTCGCTATATGTTCGCAATGCGTCCTCTGCACATGTTGAATGCAAATTATGTATACCAGGGTATAGTCCTGCCGGGTTATGCAATGCAGTGGTTACGCTAAATATTTACAATCTTGTGGGATGTACGAACGGTACCGAAATTTATCGACGCACACGACACAATATACATAATTCCAGAAAAGGGTAAGAACGCTATTTCCGCGTCCACGGTACATAAACGCGATCGATAAAAATATTAATTGGTACAATAATTAACAAATTAATAAATCATCTGTGACAGTTAAATATTTAAAAATTTTTTAAATATTATTGTGCATGAAAAAGAATTAAAGTTATTTTAAGGCCCACACAAACGAATGCGCTTGTATTTTCTAATTGGCAAATTTTTTGTCAAAATCAATATAAAGTTTGAAAATATAATATATTATAAAAAATAATAATTGGATTAATTATGCTTATAATTAATTTGAATTAATCACATAACTACTTAATCAATCTTGCGGTGAATCTTTTAGATTAAATTATTGATTGACTTAAATATTATTGTGCATGAAAGAATTAAAGTTATTTTAAGGCCCACACACGAATGCGCTTTCACATAACTACTTAATCAATCTTGCGGTGAATCTTTTAGATTAAATTATTGATTGACTTTAAAACTCCCTTTATATCACAAGATTATAAATAAAAAGACCTTGTTAACTGTGAGGTGGTCTCCTCCTGTTTTTTTTTTTTATTTTATGAAATAGTGTTTTACCCAGCTCCAGGTAACTTACATCACACAACAGGTTACACAACCGTTCTATAAAAAATCAAGAAGTTCTTGTTTTTTATTCTGCTTTCTATGTGTTTCTGAAAGAATCTTTCTAATGTGCATGCGTCATCTATCATGGCGTATACATATATTCACACATACGTATGTATATTTTGTACCATTTTTTCGGTCGAGCAATCGACGTCAACTTCTCCTTTCATTCCGCTTCGAAATTGACATAATCATGCTCGAAAAATGTTTCGAGAGTAACAACTCTTTCCTTCTTTTGTGTTACACAAGTTTCGCTAAAATTACTTTCGTTGGATGTTTTTACACTGACATCTTCAGTTGAATTTTATTTCTCGTCATCTTTTCATCTTGCCATTATAACTTTCCTGTCTCTTCAGCGTAGGATTTTATTCTGTCTCTGATATTTCGCTAGGGAAAATCGTTTTTCTTTTACTTATATATGCTACACAATGTTTTCCTTTTCTGAATATTATTACATGCATTTGCTAGGATGTGCGAAGAATGAAATGCAACATGGCATGTTCTGAGAAATTTACTTGCTTGCTTTAATTAATGCGCAAGTAAAAATCATCTCTTGTAAAAGTTATCATAAATCAACCACTACTTGATAAATATACATAAATATACATAAGATACAATTGAGAAGCCAAAGAATGTCTGTCGTCATAATATTGTTGTTGTATGTATTTCATCATTCATAAAAATACTTTTCAATCACATTTAGATCAATATTTCGCAAATGATGTCATTTTAAACAAATCTCTTGCCTATTATCTCTTATATACATTCTGATAAATGTCTCTGTCCTCTTTATGAATATTGTACATACTCTCACAAATCTTCGTTTCCGAATGCGATTTCGAAATTGATTCACACTCTATCGCGTGATTGTTTAGTTACTCCACCCGCCCAGAGAGTACAGTTTATCCTCGGCGAGGAAGTTGGTGATGATGCACACGAATCGCATCCGCTCTTCTCAGAGATGGAGGAGCTTGTCAAGGATGGCGATGAGATGGAATGGAAGGAAACGGCGAGGTAAAGTTCAAATAGCAATCTCAACCCCTTGTCGATTTAGCGCTTTGAAGTGCAGAAACATGTTTATCATGTTATGCATTGAAACCGCGGATTCTGGATAGTATTGTTAGCACGAGGGAATATCATCAAACTCTTTCTCTTTTTCACATGCACAGCAATATATTATAAATTAATTTATATGTTAATAATGTAACGGAATAAACTATTGTGATGATAATTTTTTACACAAAAACAGGAGAGAATTGTAAATTACATTAAGTTTTAAATTCATGAAATTTAAGAAAAAATGAAAAATAATTTTAATGATAAAAATAATTTGTCGAATAAATTATTGCGACGATAATTTTTTCAAACAAAAGTAGATAAAAATTTCAAATTTGCACGTAAGACTTTAAAATCGTCAAATTAAAAAACATGTAAACGATTTTAAACACCGCGAATATGCACGTATGCGCAGATGGATCAAATTCGAGGAAGATGTCGAGGAAGGTGGCAATAGGTGGAGCAAACCTCATGTCGCCACATTATCGCTACACTCGCTCTTTGAGTTGAGAAGCCTTCTCTTAAACGGAACCGTCATGTTGGATATGGAGGCACAGGGCTTGGAGCAGATAGCTGATCTCGTTTTGGATAATATGGTCAATAAAGGAGTGTTGCCGACCGAATTGCGAGAGAAGGTAAAAGCGAAGTTTGAAATATCATGCTTATCAATAGAAGAATCTCCAACGACACATTTAGATGAACTTTGAATACATTTTCATAATCCCATTTTGCCATTTTGATGTAGCACATAGATGTCTGACACAGTTCATAAAATTCATATGTCTCGCTAAAATAGGAGAGAAGTTATCGGACAAAGATAGCAACATTATCGAGCTGTTACTTTTAAAAACATTATCGATTTTACAGGAAGTGAAAAATTCAGAGATTTGAAATTCCATATTAAGGATCCGTGTTATTTCTAATTTGAATCAATACTTCAGGATACCAGCCACACGTGTACGATTCCCAATCGATCGATCAGACAGGGTATTAATATCGTTACAGGTGAGAGAAGCCCTCCTCGTCAGACATCGGCATCAGCACGAAAGACGTAAAGACAATAACATGTCGAAGTTACCGATCATACGATCGTTAGCTGAGATAGGACGCAATCATTCCTCCTCAAAGAGTAAGTTTCATGTTATTGCCCCGTCTTGATGTCCTCGATAATTACTTTTTGACAGGTCGCCGACGGTTACACAAGTAATGTACATAACATGTCTATCGAGTACATGGACGCTCAGAAACAAGAGATTGTCTCGACGTAATTTTAGCACAATTTCGATCGCTTATTTAATTTATCCAATTTCAACGCGAGCGCGTTTTCTATTTTTTTTTTTTACTTTATGCTTATATTATCTACTTATTTAATTTTTTATTCTTTTGTACATATGTTTTGTTTCTGAATTTTGCATTATTTTTTTAAATAAAATAATATTTCCCGTCCCCTTCTTCTGTCCTCTAATTTTTGTTGTATTAATTAGTATATATTTAATTTGTTAAATACTTTTATGCCACTTTATGTAATAACCCGACATAATATTTAATATATATATAATCAAGCTATAATAATAAATAATTTCAATCTGATATCGAATTAAGAATCCACCTCTTTAAATTAATACATATTTTGTTATTGTATCTTATTTCAAACTTTAGTTTCTAAGTTATTTTACTTTCGTTAATTATGAATGTCGGGTTGTTAAAAGAGTGAACTTTAATTTAAGTTAATTTAACTTATCTTATTTTTTAATCCAACTTTTGATTTTATTTTTATCTGCATTTTCGTTGAAGACCACCCCGATGGCGGTGGCGAGACGAAAAATCGGGTCAATGGTGTGCTAACTTTGCTAAAACACGTACGACACAATCGACATTTTCAGATTGCGACTGTTCATGTGGTATGCATGCCTTGTTGACGTCAGATTTGCAGGAGCGTCGCGAACCGAAGGACGCCTATGTACCATCTGTCGCCCGCAGCAGCAGTTGCCCGAACTCGAATACGGCTCCGCTGTCGAAAGAGGCGAAAGACCTCAAAGGGCCGTACCTTCTGGTTCCAGGTACAACTTAGGCCAGTCCATCCGCTAACCTTGGATTGCGGTGCTTTCGTGGCTTTTCTAACAACACCTCACAGGAACAATCCACTAACAGCCACAACATGCGTGTATCAATTGCTTCGTAAATTCTCTATGATCTTTTTACTCTTAGTAAAGTTAATGTAGAAAAATGTCGCAATCCAATTCCGTAACATTAGTTGATTTTGAGAATAGTGGCTTGAGGATAAATTAATAAATAAAATTTGATACTCCAACGAGGATTAAGGATTTAACGAAACGTAATCGTCGAAGGATTCTTTCCAATTGCATTAAAGATAAGATTCGTAAAAACTTTCTTATTTTTATATCAGTAATTTGAACGAGATTTGCAGAGTAACAGTTTAGTGAGAGTATCACGAATTTGGGAGGCAAGCGATACGTTTAGCTATAACTTGTATTGTGGATTATGTATCATAGTGCGTGGCGATCAAGCGAGGATCAAGAGAATCTCGATCGTCGTTGGATCCATCGCGATGCGTTGGATTTACAAGCCATCATCGTCATTCGTGTTCCCCAATTGCCTGATGTTTCTTAGTGATTGTCTTGCTAATTGACTGTCTACGTAAAGTACTTAGCGCCATCAAGATTACGCTCATCGTTTCCATCGAGTCATCATCCTCCGCAGCTCGAGCCGGTCGAAAATTTGTAACTTACACGATCGTTTCTTTTCTTTTATCAGACGAATTCGGCATACCCCACGTGGTAGGATTTACGACGTGGTTTGCGATGTGTCCGCTGAAAGGTTAGCTTGTCAGATGGTATATTCTCGAATTCTATCTCGAATTTGCACAAGAAATTTTACTTCTCACTTATCTTCCGTCTACTCTAAAGTCTGTTCTCTATCGTCTTACCACGTAAGCTTGTCGTCGACGAGTGTGGCAAAACTCATTCTGATCTCTCGTCAATCTTGTCACCTACTATTTTAACTGTCTCGATGGATCTTTTACTGTCTTATTGTCATGCACAGAAACTTCCATATAAGGGCACACTTTTATTTGATGTTCTTCTGTGTGAAACAATAGTCTCAGTGAAATCTGGCAAAATTCATGTTATACGGAAAATTCGGAAACTCATTGTGTTTCGCGATTTTTTCAGACATGACTTGAATCATCCAGAGATTAATTCACGAAAAAATGCTACCTTCTGAGCACGTGTCGTTATTGGTGTAAGAATCAACGGTGCTGTTGCAGACAATGCGTCTGATCAATAACAGTCGCTACTACTGTGTGCGGCTGATTCTACCTCTCGAATATATCCAGATATATCCTGATCCATTTTCGGTATTCATCGAGGTGAAGTTAATTATAGTTACTAATTTAATGCGGTCCATCAACATTATGAGAAGTGGATTGCTTGTCGAGCATGATCTGTGTTCTCATTAAGCGTTTAATGTCGAAATGTGGCTATCTAATTACTAAATTGAATGTTTAGACAAATGTCATCCCTAATTCAAGTAAATAAACTGACGCATTAAGCACTAAATGCGATGGTAACGCGGAGAATTTTAGTATATGGAAATGATGGATTTACTTTTTATCGAGTATGACGTCACAAGAAATCATCGTTCATGGTCTCATTATCCATCGAACCAACATGCACGTTCCTTCGTTGATGACGTAAGCCAATGTTTATAATTCCGATCACAGGGCATGATGGATCTTTCGTTGTAATCATACTAAATGCACGTAACTTTCGTAAATCCTGTCTACTGTATTCATTACTACTGTGCATTTATCTCTCAATGTCATAATTAACTTATATTTTTTCAGTGTCCTTTGTAGCATATCCTCGTTTCTTCTCGTAAAATGTAATAATGATTGTACCTTTTTTTTAATGTCATACTTTTAAAAAATGTATATATATATATATATATATATATGTATATACATATATATATATTGTAAAACGTTAATAATTGTCAATATGATTGATGTTATGTATAATTATTGCAAAATTACATTTTTATGAATTTCTTTGATAATTATAAGTGCATCATCGCTTCAAATTTTCTAAATGTCAACAATTTACAAAATATTTCAATTTTATGACTGTCGCGGTTTACTGACAATTTCACTGTCAAATGGAAATGAAATGACATTAGAACACTAAACGACGTAGCGAAATGCGCGATGAAGCCACACAAGAAAACTGAGCGATGTCGCTACGTGTTTCGCTCCTGACGTTTCATGCGCACTTTCTACGTAAAAATAGAAACAGTCGCATGCGTAATCCTTTCTCCACGGTAACGTTGCAATCAGTACGCATATATATGAAATACATACCGAAATTAAATTGTTTGTTAGCACACGACAGTTTTTTCTCGTATTAAATTTCAAGATTGAGATTAAAACGTGTGCAATATGCTAAAGCGGCTATTTTTAATTCGTATTTGCAAACGTCCAGCTAGAGATTATCTTCGCGATACAAAAATATCGAAATGAACGAAATTACACTTGTAATGAGTAATATATATATAAATCTTTACGTTTGATATATAAAAAAATACAAAGAGAATCTAAAACAAAAGATCAAGTGAGCTACTCTACCTAAGAGATTCCGACATTTAAAGTGCTCGTGACTATCGCGACGATGGAATACCCTTTACTCCCTCTCACACCTTCCTTTGTAAATAAAAGACGATCCCTGTGTTGTGTTTCATGCTCATGTTTAGTGGAGGAATCGAATTCCGCTCCCGCGATCGCCGGCGCAACAAGTCAGGGCAGTGGAGCAGCGCTGAATGCTGGTAGCCGCTTCCTTGCGATACCCGGCAATCCCGGTAAACCGCTTTTCTGTGCTCGCTTTTCTACTCATACACTTTCACACTCGCGAGCTTCATTAATCCGTAGTGAAGTTCCACACATACACGTAGATTAACCTGCAGTAGCAATTATCCGTCGGATACGCTCTGTCGGCATACGCGACAAATGAGAAGCCGCTGTGAGATCGGAACGAATTGTCATTGGAATGCGGGAGAGTCATTGGAACGCTTAACGAACTTCGTTTCGCTCGCGAGAAATTATCGAAAAGTATTCCTTACCGCGAATAATGGTAGTCGATTCGCAAAAAAACGCCAGACGTCATTATTCCTCTTGCAATTTCGTAAAATGAATCAAATCCCACGCAAAAAATAAAAAGCAATTTCCAATTACCAAATATTTATAATTGTGCCTTCAGAGAGAGAGAGAAACATTTATTGATCACTAAATATTTATTACAAATAATATAAATCAAAGTATTAATTGGAAAATATGTTTAATTTATCTCATTAACGTAAAATTTGTACTGATTAATCTACATATTTTATATATTTTTGTTTTGTGTAAATGGTATCGAAAAATCGAGAGATTAAAATACAAATATTTTGATATGACGTAAATTAAAGAACGAAAAAGCTGATCAAGAAATGCCTGATAGATAATTTTCAATTATTATTTGTTTGCAGTAGATTATCGAGGAATTAGGAATATCGAGTGCCACGTAGAGTTTGTATTACTTCCATCTTCTACGATAAGACTCGAAGAAATTTATGATACGGACTATCTTTGCCAGGGATTGCTCGTAATCGTCCTTGACATTTGACGCAAAGGTCGAGTGTTACTTTAAATATGGCAGACTTCGAGCAAATTTTCTCTTTAATCGAATGAGAATCCGTTTAATCGGATGAAGCAGTTATCATATCGATTTTACGCGCTGATCGAGATTTAAATTTGATTACAAATAAATTAATGTGCTCCCGCGATTGTAATCGCATAATTGCTATCGGAATAATTTAATTTTCAAATTCATTCAGGTTTCTCCATAATTAATAATGGAACTCTTTTTCGATTACACTTGATTCCTATCAGATAATTAATTTCTATTTTGTTGTGCACAAGAAATTTAATTCCCGAATCTAGCGAGAATTTAGTTGCAACTCGAGATCGTTTATTTTGCAAGACAGCATATTTAATTAGCGAAACTCAGAGATAACACGAAATTGCAATAGCAGATTGTTGTGAATAAAATAATTATAACGCTGTACGTTCAATTAGTTGCCATTTACGCAAGCAGAAAAATTCATCACGTTTTGCAATTGGAAATTGCTATAATACTTATAATCAGTATAACATATTTTGAATGACTATTTTTACTTTTGTATCATTTATCGTATAATATCAGATCTTATATTATCTCCTAAAAATCAGTCTTTCTAAACAATATTGTTTAACAAGTAAGCTTTCATCCGTGGAGTATTGTTTGAGGTAAATGTTTGCGGTAAACCAGTACATTTAATTTTATGACATCAATTACGACTGTTCTAATTAATCCCGCGAAGTTCTATTTTCCGTTGTGTCTTTCAAAGCCCGCGCTGATTTCTCGGAAATGAGAGATGTCTTGAATTTAACAAAGGAGTTCAGCGCTCGTTAACGATTGATAACTTTTTAAATTTCTCTTCCGCGTTTTCTGACTTTTCCTCGTTTTCCAAGCATACGACTGAAACTGGTTGCGAAAAAACTTATAAATTTCCGCATAAAGCGTAGTAATTTTTACGCCAAGATAAAACACATCCGCTCTTTTTGATGTTATACGGAAATGTGCCTTAAAGCGGAGCGTGCTGTTCTAATCACGGAAACGAGTTCGTGCGAACGACGCGAGCGTGAAACTCAAGGTGTGCGAAAATTGCAATCCGCGCGCGAGTGTAAACTGGAGGATTAGTGACGCACGGGCGTATTAAAGCCATCATTTTCTCCATCGCGGGCTACTAACGAGGGTGGTGATTTAAGTCGCTTATAAAAATGCAGTAGGCAGTAAGCCAGATCTCTTTCAGGCCAAGAACCCGGCAGCAACGGGATAGACCGCAGCCCCAGCAGTGTGTCCATCAGCAGAAATCACAGTTCTTCCGCTTTGGAAAACGGAGATGCTAATCACAGGGTTCGTAAACACCTTATTTGAACTGGATCCTTAAAAATTAGATCCCTCTAATTGGCCCTGTGGCCATTGTAGCCGTCACACAATATGACGAAGATTCATGACGTTTAGTTTCGGTAATTATCGGGCTTTAAGCTCACTAATTGTGATTGCAACTAAGCGTCAGTTAACTGAATTTATATACCGTCCGTTTAATGGTATTGTCCAAAATTCACGTCAAGAATTCTATTTACATATTATTTTTCAAGTATAATTTTACTTATAAATTTTTATAAAACTCCGGTTACTGGAGAAAAAAACTTTGTAAATTATACGAATCTGACGTTATAAATTACACAATTTAGTTTCATAAAAATTTGATCTAATTATCATAATCGATAGATTATGCTTTAATATTAACTGTTATGATATTAATATCAGCAAAAAAAATTGCCAAATGTTTTGTTAGCAATTTTTTTCTAAAGGTATTTTATTCGAATACTTTCCCCTTAATGTTAAGATCAGTGTTCTGTTAAATATCGCGAGCAACTTAATCCGAGAAATTTCAACTCCGCTTTCTCATTAGGGTAATACACACTTCATGAGGAAGATACCAGCCGGCGCTGAAGCAAGCAACATACTTGTGGGTGAGGTCGATTTCCTCGACAAGACTCTGTCCGCATTCATTCGATTGAGCCAAGCCGGGATAATGGGCGACCTGACAGAAGTTCCTGTTCCAACGAGATTTATCTTCGTTCTCTTAGGACCGATGGTAAGAACGCTACCACTAACAAATTGAGATAAGCGCGAAAAATGAAAAGCAAAAGGTAAAATATGATCGTGACCTACTTCAGGTGCCATTTCCTTAAGATTCTCGCGTTAATTACAAATGTGCAAGAGTTATCGCGATGAAAAGAGAAAATTTACTGCATACACAGTATTTTATTTTAATCAGCGTGTCGCGTATACGAAAACGAGAGAAATTTAACTTGTGCAAACAAATTCTATGAATCTTGGTGTTTTATGATCAGACAATTCTCGTAATTGTTATAAATATTATTCTATTTCCTTTCTTTTCATTCAGGGTTAAATTAAAGCAAATAGATTGAACGAGTTTCACGAGTGAAAACAATTCAAAAGGAAATGATTTTCTGGAGCAAAGAAAAATAAAATTATTATTAGACAAGTTCGAAAAGCTAGTAACTTGTTTACTTAAAAGTGCTATGCAATCCCTACGCTGTGCTCAAGAGAAATTACAACACACGGGGGGTTTATACAAAAGTTTATACTGTTCAGATATTAAAACATCAACTTAACGCGTCAACAAATTGCGTATCTACACTTAGAATGCTCGACTTTCTATAATCCTATCAAATAAAATAACTGCGCATCCATAGAAATGCGACTGTAACCCTCAACGAATTCCTTGAAATCCTTGTGAATTGTCAGTCATCTGCACGAATCAATATCTACTCGGTCATTACGGTTGTATCAACGAGTTATCAAAGGCTGTCATCTTCCACGCTTGACCTTGTCTGTAGGTGAAGTTTAAAAAAAGAATGTATCTACTCTGAACTGCCTCCGAATCACTTGTGCAAGTTTTTTTTTTCCCACGTTTACGTATATATCTAACATCTACTAACTAAACATCAATTTAAAAAGCTCGTTTAAAAGGCCGCTTCCACTCCTCCTCACAGACAATTAAACCTTTAACAAGCAGTCATGCATGCTGATTGCGCCTGCTGACTATTGGCTCGAGAGGCCTACGTAATTTCTTCTTGATGCGAATGTGACTTTAAATGCAATCATGAGCTTATTGTATCTTAACATGCGATTTCATCCTACAACTGTTTTTCCACAAAGACCATATCTGCTTTTAAACTATACTGATTTTATTATTTTGCAAATGTTTCAAAAATTAGGTCAATTTGTGAGTTTTACACAATTTGCATACCGTGAATTTTTATAAAAAATGCAATAATAATGCGTTGTACGATACATTGTATACTTACTCGTAAATGTAGAACATTATGTCACATTTATACGCAAAAAACTATTCTATGCGTTAAAATCAATATGTCTAAAATTGAATTTTTAATGATAATTTTTTTTTAGATAAAAGTTAATTATTTTTATCATTTTTTTCTAGAATTATTTGCTTGTAGAAATAATTTACTGACAAGAACAATACTCTATTTCTTGCGTAACGCGTGGCTAATAGATTTCATAAGTTCTTGCAATTATTTCCTTTTATCTCCTTACTAAGAAATTATTTTCCAAGTTACAAAAAAGTATAATTATTAATTTGTACTTAATAAGAAATTCGAAATAATATACGAATAAATGAGTTAAAGTATTTTAAACAATATTAAAAAAGAAGTATAGAAAAGTACAGTGTACCAACATCGTGACAATATTATACACAAACAAAATTATTATATACAATCGCGTTGTATGGATCGGTTTTAGGGCGGTATTTCGGGTTTCCACGAGATCGGTCGAGCGATGGCAACCTTGATGTCCGACGAAGTCTTCCACGATGTGGCTTACAAGGCAAAAAATAGAAATCACCTTTTAGCCGGTATCGACGAGTTCTTAGACGCCGTGACGGTATTACCACCCGGTGAATGGGATCCGGCGATTCGAATAGAACCGCCAGCTGCTATTCCGTCGCAGGTGAGAATAAAGTAGTCTCAAGCAAGAATAAGAGGCGGTATAACTTCGATGAATTCGATTAGAAATGCGTGAAAGTAATTTCTGTCTTTGTCAGTGACAATGAAAACGCAATGAAAGCCCTCTTTTGCATATCTGAAGCATTGAAAGCTCGCCAAAGTTATATTGGCTTTAATACTCAATTTTAACATACGCGTTCAGAGGGTATTCATCTTCGTCAATTGCGGCTTAATTTCCAGGAAGTCAGAAAGAGGCCGAAGGAGGAAAAGCCTAAGGAAGATTTCGACGAGGAAGCTGATGAACAAAAGCTGAGAGAAGAATCCGGTCTCGAGAGAACCGGAAGACTATTCGGCGGTCTGATCAACGACGTTAAAAGGAAAGCTCCGTTTTATTTCTCCGACTTCAAGGACGCTTTGGCGCTTCAATGCGTGGCTTCTTTCATCTTCTTGTACTTCGCCTGTTTATCGCCCATTATTACCTTCGGTGGCCTCCTCAGCGAGGCCACCGGCAAGCATATGGCCGCTATGGAATCACTAGTTTCCGGTTTCGTTTGCGGCATAGGATATGGATTCTTTTCTGGCCAGCCGTTGACTATACTCGGTTCCACCGGTCCGGTTCTCGTTTTCGAGACGATCGTTTACGAATTCTGCAAGTAAGTCCGGACGGAACTTTGATATTAATAAAACTTCTTGTGACGAGTTTTGACAGACTGGTTCTGATATTTAATTAGCTTCTTTCATTTTGCAACTTGACAAAAATAAAGGTAGATTCGACGATATAAAGTGTGAAATATACATTTTTATCCATTAACATTGTTTCTCTTCGTGCGGTATTTCGAGATAATCTGATCAGATTATTATTCTTTTTGTAGGAAAGTCGATTGGAATTACATGTCATTCCGCTACTGGATCGGAACATGGACCGCCCTTATTCTGATCATTCTCGTGGCCCTTGACGCAAGTGCTTGCGTCTGTTACATCACCCGATTTACGGAGGAGAACTTCGCCACGCTCATCGCCTTCATCTTTATCTACAAGGTGAGAAAAATCGTACCGCTATTAACACGTAGCGCGTAAAGCGCCATTACATTATTTTACAATAAATGGTTTTCCAATATTCGTGATGTTCCATATTTATAATGTAAGTCACTATTTGATAATGAAATATTAAAAGCTGTCGATGCACCTACAATTTTCTTAGATAGCTCAAGCTTCAACAAGTTAATTAATGCCATTATCAACTATAAACTGGAAAAATACAATAATAATCTATCATTTATTAAGCACGAAAAATTCTAAAATTAAATGTTACACGTATTCGATCGTTTTAACAAAAATATAAATCGTGCTTACAGTATTTTTTATATTATTTTCTGTTTAATATAAATATACAAATATAAATGTCGATTTCAGGCTATCGAAAATGTGCTGTCAATCGGCAAGAAGTATCCCGTGAACACCTATCCTAACGAAATGTTGGGCTACAATTGCTGGTGTAAACCACCGAACATCACTCTGCCATCCAGTTATAATAACATGAATTGGACGACGTTGGAGAAGGAAGCCTGCGAGGTATTGGAAATAATGCACGCGATGTCAAGCGCGAGTGACGATCCGCTTATTGTTAGCAATAAACAATTCCGTTGCGTTATATGCTGTAAGACTTAGACTGCGCTCGACTGCGCTTTTATCAGTCGGCTCCATTAATAAGATTATCAAAGCGGCCTTTAATTTTAGAGCGCCGCTCGGGCAGCCTCGTGTTTCATTATAGAAATTGCAAACTCCATTTGAATACCAATTTCTACCGTGACTTTGTAATCGTGACTGATAAGAAACATGCAAACATCGAGCACACAAACGTCTCATTACGTTCAACCGTAGGAATCAAAAGCTCTCTTGCTTCCTCCGGTGTCTTCTTAAGAAATTACAAGTTCCCGCGAGTAACTAGATCACTAGACGTTTCTAAATCCGTAGGAAAATACGATCTCGGCGGCGATCCAATTCCATCTCCCCTTTGTGACGCCGTGTTCGTTATGCTTCTTTCAGAGCTACAACGGCACGATGGTAGGCGACGACTGCAATGCACCGCATTATGTACCCGATGTGTTCCTTATGTCAATTATCCTATTCATGGGTACGTTCTTACTGTCGGTGGAACTCAAAGATTTCAAGAACGCTTTATTCTTCCCCTCGAAGGTAAACATGACGGATATCTCAATTGAAAAGAACTTAGAACAACTAATATAATACTAACTTTATCTTCCTGAGGAAAAAATTTTCTTTCTTGACACTCTGTATCGTTTTCAGGTGAGGCAAGTGGTGAGCGACTTTGCAGTGATAATCGCGATATTCTCAATGAGCTCACTGGATCACTTCGTGGGGATTCCAACGCCGAAATTGGAGGTGCCGGCAGAGTTCAAACCGACATTGGAGGGACGAGGATGGATAATCTGGCCTTTTCAGAAGAATCCGTGGTGGAGTGCTATTGTGGCGTTTCTCCCCGCTTTATTGGGCACTATATTGATCTTCATGGATCAGCAGATCACGGCCGTTATTGTTAATAGGAAAGAAAATAAGTTGAAGGTGAGCGGCTATATCCGTATATCATACATAGCATTTTCGTCGACAAATATCACGCGTAAGTGTGATAAAAAAAATACATTGCAAAATTTACTCTTTCATATATGTAATGATAATTAAAACAAGATTCACGATAACGCAGCAATGATAACGTTAATCGCATTAATAATTTTATCGATACTTTTTCAGAAAGGATGCGGGTATCATTTGGACCTCTTCGTTTTGGCCATCCTAATTGAAATATGTTCAGTGATGGGACTTCCATGGTTCGTCGCAGCGACGGTCCTTTCCATAAATCACGTGAACTCGTTGAAGTTGGAATCCGAATGCGCCGCGCCGGGCGAGAAGCCGCAATTTTTAGGCGTCCGCGAGCAGAGAGCTACTCATATATTAATTTTCCTGATGATCGGATGCTCGGTGCTCCTAACACCGATGCTGAGGAATATACCGATGCCGGTACTGTTTGGCGTCTTCCTGTACATGGGCGTCGCCTCGTTGAAGGGTCTCCAATTTTTTGACAGGATTCTAATTATGCTGATGCCCGTTAAATATCAACCAGACTACATGTTCCTCCGCCAAGTAAGAGCAAATGGATTTCTCAATATCTTCGAAGTAGAATTCCTTTTTATTTCAGATTTTTTTTCTTCAATAAAATATTTTAAGAGTTGTTAAGAATTTGAGATGAGCGAGATATTATTCTCAAGTTGTCATGTTTCCAAGATTTTGAAATAAATATGTGCTTTTTTAGGTACCGTTGAAACGTGTACACATGTTCACTGCAATCCAGCTTACTTGCCTCGCCTGCTTGTGGCTCATAAAATCCTTCAGTTCTACCTCGATTCTGTTCCCCTTAATGGTAAGTAGTCGATTTAAAAATGCCCAACAAAATATTTCCGATCATCATAAGTGTTATAAAATCAATTGATATGATTGATTGATATTAATTTGATTTGCAAAATATATAAAATATTTTATACAGGGTGTCTGGCAATACCCCACCGGTCATATACAGGTAGAGGAGGTCAAATCGAGTAGAAAAGTCCTTTACCATTTTTTGATTTTTGTAATAAGTACTAAGTAATTAACGAAAAAAGATTGGTGAATCCGTGCAAGTAAAGCGCGCGCAGCGAGAAGGACATCCCACTGCTATGCGATCACTAGGCGCGCGATGAAGCGTTGGGAGGAGCGCTCTACAAATGACAATGGCAACATACGAGCGGCGCGTAACGCTAGATCCTTGTGTCCTAGTGATCGCGTAGCAGTGGGACGTCCTTCTCACCGCGCGCGCTTTACTCGCGCGGATTCGCCGATCTTTTTCGTTAATTACTTAGTACTTATTATGAAAATTAAAAAATGGTAAAGGACTTTTCTACTCGATTTGACCTCCTCTACCTGTATATGACCGGTGGGGCGATTATTGCCAGACACCCTGTATATATACACACAAAATATTATTTATAATATTTCACAAATCAAATTAGATTGTCAAGTCTTAAAAAATCATAATTTTACTAATAAATATAAATCAGTATAGTTTTTCAGCCAAATTGGGTCATAACACTGCTAAATGTAATTTTCAATGCAATAACTGTAAAACTGAAAATTAATCAATCTCACAACTCAAAAGGATGATATATTTATGAAAAACTTAATTGAAATCGTATGAAATTTTACAGCTTGTCGTAATGATCGGCATACGCAAATCTCTGGACTTGATATTCACCCAACGCGAACTGAAAATCCTCGACGACGTAATGCCGGAACCGAGCAAGAAACACGCCGAGGAGCTCCGTAAGCTGGAGAACGGCGAGGTTAGCATCGCCACACAAATACTAAACGCCGTCACCTGTTGCAAATAGCATACAGATAGTGATCGCGCGGCGAACGCTCGCCCCGTGGTCACTATAAACCTTTCCGATTTTGGGGAATCCGCCCTTTGCAGAAAAAACGATGTGTATACCACTACAAGCGATCGGATGAACGTCATCTAAACGAATTAATTTTTCGTTTCTGCGCAGAGACCAGATTAGAGTAAAGATACAGGATCGCCGGATACGAAGCTAGGATATAAGTTTAATTTAAAGTTAAATAATTATGTGTATGCACAATAATTTAAGAGAGTCAATCCGGCCTTCGGTAATTTACACACAAAAATTAAAAAAAAAATGAACGGACCAATGAATTCTATGCAAGACGCACACTTTTTACGATTACTGTTACGTCGGGACAACACTTTACTCCTTTCTGGTCGAGAATTTCGCGTTCACAAAAGATGCTTTATCGCCTGAATACGCCAGGATGACGAGAATGGTATTGCACAAACGTTTCGAAAACGCGCGCACATTAATTGTCTTCAGCCCGCAGAATTTTATGCGAAAACACGAAAGTATATTTGTGAAAATAATGTAATATTCGTTGTCTTGAGCATTTATACGCTAAATTTTTACCCGATATTCTTTTGACGAACCAAGACTCGGCCTCGGAACCATCCTCTCGTCTTCCATCCAGCACATGTGCCAAATAATTCTTATCATTAAACCCAGGTGGTATACCGACCAACCAGTATTAAAGTAAATATAATGAAAATCGTTGTTGAATTTTTAAACACGGTAGACTTTTGGATACCGCGACCTTAAACTTTGTAACGATAGCATTGTTGTTGTAGCAAGATTAAAGTAATGTGTTGAGTGTTGATCGTTTTTTGCAAGCGCTTCGAACACACGTCGACGGCTACCTGAGCTTTTATTTTGCGCAACACTTCGCTCCGAATTGCCGAATTATTCTTCAATAGTGAACTGCGCTCGATGATTTATTGATATTGTTATCGTTATGTATCATATGTAATGCATATGTTATATATAATTTTAATTATATATAATTATCTTTGTTTTTTTTTATTATACGACTTTAAACAAATTAGAAATAGGAAACTGTCTTATATTTTGTTATTGCGATATTGTAAATAATCAAGATTGAATAATATATTTACGAATCGATAATTTTGTATTAAAGACGACATTTGAAACTATAATGGAACACATCACGCGATTGTCGGTAAATAAGAAAAAGATTGTTGCAAGGTGAGCAATATTGTACGTTCGAGTCGATTTAGCGCTTCTTTTATATAATTTGTACATTCCAATATTATTACAGTAAGCAAAGAATTGTTTTAAAAAAAAAAACAGTCAGTTCACCATAGAAGAATATGTGATCGCCATATTGCGACTAGTTTTTTAATATATTTACAGTAATTTTAATCGATAACAGATTGCCTATTATGCAAGTGGTATCAACGAAGATATTTGCCGAGTAGCAATCGATGCACCGTGATCGATATCGCGACTTGGCGAAACGAAATGTCTTTTGCCGTGTCGCTGATATCTCTCTCCCTGTGTGAACTATTCGACACACTCTTGTATCGATTCGATGCGCTGTCGTACACACAACCCACTTATCTTATCATGTAAAAATACATTATTGTTTCGAAACACATAAAACCTTTTTATAATTGCAACATTTCCTAACACAATTAACGACTCACTTTGATTAACATGTTCACATAACTAAAAAAGCTCCTGTAGTCAACTTTACAATAGTCAAGTATCAAAAGACGATCATTTTAGAATTATTATTAATTTAAAACCCTGCAAAAACGTAAAATATACTAATATTTAATAACAATATCACAACGTCCAATTACTGTTAAATTTGTAACAATTACTGTTAAATTTACTTATGTATTTTATAAAATTGGCCTTATTTTTGCATTATTATTATGTTTCAATTTTTTTATTTAGATTGTGCGCTTAAATAAGTTATGTAAACTAAGTTTAATATGTACAGAAAGCACAATTGGCTTTTTAATACATAAATTGTACAAAAATAATAAATTACACACATAGTACGTTAAATCCCATTATCAAGAAAAGATTTTTGGTCAATTGAGAGACATTTTTCGAAAAACGTATGACATAAAAAATAAATCACAATAAAAAAAACACAATTTTTACACAAGTACTCATATGAAATTTCTATCTCATGATTTTTAACGAAATCTTAATTAAAACGTAACAAATCAAACTTTTATCAAACTTTTTGCCAATGTATCATAAAAATAAATAATTAATTTATGAAATCGTATCATTAATCTGAGAATTGTATAAGGAAATTCGTAATTATTATTATGTTTGAGTTTTCACACAGTGCAATAAAATAATTTTTAATAAGAAAATAATATATCTTTTTTTAATCACGTGTCGCGAACAAACTATTAAGTGAGACGTCCCACCGTGTAACAGTCGACGGTGTAAGTTCATTAAGTAAGCAATATGATTAACGGAATAACTGAACGGAAAGCACCATGACTTACGGAGGAGAGTGACGATTCAGCGAGAGAAAATGAGAGCGACCGAAAGAAATCACGAACCGGACAAACACGGATATCGATACGGAAATCGCAAACGAAAAAAACGCCAGTTGTCGAATCCTCCGCCTGTCATCGGTACGTCACTATGAGTGCACGCCGTAGCTTTGCCGCATACAGCGACAATCATATTTTCGCAAGCGAACAATTCAGCGAACACTTTACACATCGGTTACACGCATCGAAGAAAGCGCTCTTCTTTTCGTTGACGACTTTTTGGTGAGCGTACGTGCCGATGCACGTTGCGATAGGTGCGTTCCAATTATGGCAGTGGGCTACATGCCGCTAAAAACCGATTGCAGTAATAGCATGTTACAAATTATATGCAAATTATGTGGCGATAGCGACGATATATATCGCAGCTTATGCTTCATTGAGGATCCAAACAAATTGCATAAACTCAGTATTACATAATAGTTGCATAATATTTAACTGCTGAATTATTAAAGTAAAAAAAATATTGAAAATATACTAAAAGAACGAAATGTGCCTTCACATGTCATTTATTCGTTTTTGAATAATTTAATGCAAGCGTGTTAATGTTGCGTATCCTCGCAAAGTATAAGCATCGATATCATCATTATCATGTTCCGTTCATTATGCGCGAACAGAATGACAATATCGCGTATCAGTTAAACCCCACGAAGCGAAAAAAAAACCGCAATGACACGCTCGTGTGAAACCTATTTTAGAAAATTTTGTCCCCCAACACGAAACCACCCCTGATCTCATCGTCATTACGGGCTCGTCGCACTGATTTTTTAATGTGCATTTCTCCCTTTATCTACACGCAAAGCAACCTCATTTGTATATCGAGTTACGTGACTTCCCTACCTCAAGATCGTTATTACTCCTCCCTCGTACACATTTATAATTTATTATCGCGCAAAATTGATCGGCTCGTAAAGTGCTGGCGAGCAAAGTATCACGCCTGCTTCCCGGCAATTTAAAGGCAATGCAAAGTTCGCTTGTATTTATGCATGGCCTGATAGAGAAACTCATCATGTATCAACATTGAGATTTAAACCGTTGTTTGATTAATCCTGCAGGAGCAGACAATGGGATATGGGCCTCCGGGAAACATTCAGATCTCTTTGGCCAACGGGAATATTATGAAGATCCCTCTTGCGAGTATCAATATCAGCGAGGAAGTGAATAAAACTGGCATTTGGCAGCAGGTCAACGAGGGAAACGAAAAATCGAAACAATCAAAATCACTAATCAAGCAAGTATTGAATTTCTTGCATCTTTGCAAATTATATAAAAATAAAACCAATTCATGTAAAGTCAAATAATTGAGATTGTCGGGTAAATGATGTAAATGCAATAATTTTCAAAGTAATATAAACTTAGTGCAGCGTATTTTTTAATAACTTTGTGACAACTATTACTTTCGTTACTAAGAAATCATCATGTTATCTTCTATTTGTATTTTACATCATTTCGTACAATGTTTTATACGATTTATTTTATTTTTTCTGTATTTTACGTATCTTATTTTAACGTTTTATTATTTTTATCTTGATTCTAATGTGCACGCAAGGATTTTTTTGCAAGAAAATAATGATCAAAATCAAGAATCTATAAAAATGAATCAAAAATCTTAATTATGTATTCATAACGGCTTATCGCAAATTCTCTTCGTGCAACGTATCATATTCATACAATCAAAAAACAAATATCTGTGAACAAATATATGATTATTTAAATATTATCAAAGGAAAATGTTTTTTATTTGATTTAGAATGATTGCAGAACTGATTAATCATAATATGACATCAATGTAACATCGATTAATTGCAATACAAGACTGCAATAACATACTGCTGCACAATTAGAGAATTATGATATTTAAACTCTTTAAACTTTGTTCAAATGTAATGTTCAATATTGTTTCATGAATTAATTAATATTAAAGTTTTCCGTATATATATATATATATATATATATATATATATATAGAATGCGCGCACGCGTAAATTACAGATATATTCTATCCTATCTAACATTAAAATTTTCTCAACAGCAATTTTGTCGACTTTTGAACAAAAAGAATGTGAGATCATCATCTAATCGTTGAAACTAATCAAGTTCATAATTGTCTGACAGTGTGGGAAAACAAAAGAAGCATCCAAAGAAAGACAACTCGTTAGTAGCCGACGAAACAACAAGGCTGACGACGATGACCGAAGAGGACGAGGATGACAGTGGGATCTCGATCAAGGTGACACACGTAAATGACTCTAAATTCTAACTACCATCACCATCACGAATAACCGACAATTCATATGGCAAGACACACAGCAAGAGCACCAATACACCGGCATGCAACATACCCCATGCACCGCTGTGAGTAAACTTACAAACGAGGACGGCATGACAGCCCTCGTCGAGTCGTCGTAAAAGCGAATTTCAGACGCGGACGACTCATCGTAGAAAACGTGAATTTTTATGGACGACTTATGCGACGAGAATCGCGACTTAATCGCGCAGCAACGATGATAATATTTACAATATTCAAATTTTGACACGCGATTTTGCGACAATTTTTATTTTATCATAAACCTATAAATATATGAATTATATTTTAATTACGCAAAATATTTTAGAAAATATAAATTGAATGAATGAATGAAAGAAACTTTTTTAAATTCATTAAATGTTATGAAATGATTTGTCATCCATATCTACATTTTATTTTTTTCGTCGCATAGCAATAAAATCGTCTATGAGATTTAACCCTGCAACTCGTGCTTATTCTCATATTATTAGAAATATATACGCACATATGTGTTCTTCGTTGATTCATGCACCAAAATAATTAAATATTGATGAAGAAGTCGTCTGCCTTGTTCCATTGGTTTGTATTTTATTATTTTCATATGGAATGATTAATTCTCTAAACCATATATTTTTAAAATGTGAATATAATAACAATGCATTGTAGATAATTAAAGCAAGATGTCAAAGGCAAATTTAGAAAAAAAAACTGGTATAACGTTTTTTCTCGAAACAGCTTTGTAAATGTAACAAAAGCATCTAATAGCATGTTTCTTTCTTTCATTGCACAATTAATTGCTTTTTACTATTGCATGAGCGTTGCAAAATTTTTTTCTTTGTTAATTAGTCGTATCAATAAGTCAGCGGAGTTCTTGGAAATTCTGTATCCAAAAGCAATTAAGTTCATCGTCACAAAAATTTGAAAAAAAAAAAAAAAAAACAAATAGTACATTTATTTTATAGATCCTGTAGTACTATTTTATATCTTTGATCTCCTAAATTCTTTTAGAAATGTTAATGTTACTACTCGTAATCAAATAAAAAAAAATTAAATTAAATCTCGAAAAAAAAAGATTACGCAAAGCTATATCTTTATGTGCAACTACATCTCATTTGGAAATCTCTAAAAGATCTTTAAAAAATCTTTTAGAAGATTTCTAAAATAATAAATAATACAATTCAAAGTATAATCCTGCATTCCAGGCTCATAATTATTTCTAATTTTGTTAGAAAGATTTTAAGGAAAAAGCATCAAAGCCAGTTCTAAAGAATAATACAAATAGAAATGAATAATTACTTTAATTCGATTATTTCAGGTAGATTTAATACGATCAAAGGAAAGCATCAGTCCCTTAAAAGCAAATGGTACTACCTCAGCTGAAACTTCCGTTTAACAAGAAGATAAGAGAAATGAATGTACGCTAAAGCAGCATACAAGTTTCTTTACATCAATCATTTCAATATCTCGATGAACTGTTTCCTTTTCTACCGTTTCTATTTTTATCTTATGAATTGCCATTCAAATGACAAAAAGTGATAAATCATATCATATTTCTTCAAAACGTTCATCCTGATCAAAAATAATATCTACTATCATTTATCTTAATCTTATTCTCTTGTATTATATTTGTACTATATTTAGCGAACAATGCGCCACGTGCTCTTAGCGAATACCCCACAATTTATACTCAACTGTATAAATGAGATTCACCGTGCACAGTCTCAATCTGTATATAAAAACAATTCAGCAAGATTCGTCAATAACGTCCAATTGTGATTTCATGAAGCCTCTTTTTTCATCCCCAGGATAAGGTAATGGTACGCGTTGCATTTCGAATTGCGGCAGATTCGTATAAAAACAACTTTAAAAGTATGCAAAAACAAAAGAAGCAAATATATCTTTTAATGGCTATTTATGCAATTCTTCGTTAATATTACGCGTGAACTGATGATGAGAAGAACAAAAGAAGACGATTCTAAAATATTTAAAAAAAAATGCTTTAAAGTAATAGAGATGTAGTAGTTACATGTTTTTTACGTTTAGTAACGACGGCAAATACAAAAAATGCGCATTTAAAAATCCGCTACATCTTTTTTAGATGTATCGATATTGAAAAATCATTAAAAAAACGCACACTTTTCCAAATCGCAATATAATATGGCATTTAAAATATAAACGCAAACTACAAAATAAAAATTGAGTTCTTAAACGCATTTGAAATTACTCAAGCTTTGTCGTATTCAAATATTCGAATAATTAAAATTGAAATATTCTTATGAGCATATATATATATATATATAAAGCGAATGATAATAAATGACAGCAATAACATTTATTGTCGCTAGTAGCATTGCGTAGATAAGTATTCGAGTGTGTGCAATTGAAGTTATTCGAATACTTGAACAGTGACAGCTGTAGTTTTAAGTTCGTCGTATCAATTTCAAATTTATATGATGTGAATCATAGAAAAATGAGCAAGAATATCGTATTGTCGTATATATGATTCTGCATGTAGCGACTAAGTAGTTAAAGTAACTTTATAATCGTACTATGCCAAAGAAACCCCACGATATATACGTGTCGATATTTCCTTCGAGGGATATCCTGCAAGTTATTACTAGCAAACGTTGCAAGCAACTGAATGCATGTTAAAAAAAGACAAATCTGACAAATGCTGCTTGTTAAGAAAATTGTGTTTTTCAATATTGTTCATTTTCTAATAATATTAATTCGATACCTTGGAGTAAGAATTGTCGAAGTAATTTTGTAATTCAAAAAAATATAAATATTCGTCCTCTAAAATCATAAAATAATCATAAAATAATATTAACTCTTCTCGTTTCAAAATACTAATATCTCGCTAATTTTACAAGAGTAATTTTAAATACAGAAATTTTTGAAATATTCGCGTAATAGCTAATCGCTCGTGAATATAATGAGAATTAACTTGCAAATATTTACTTTTTTTAATTAACACTCTAGATAAAATTATTATAAAAGTAATTAAAATTGTTATTTAGATAAAATTCGATTTAGAAAATTTGCAAAAATATTTAAAAGTACATAGCACGTTTCTGATATTTTTTAAAGTTCCAAATTAGCAAAAATCACGCGCAAAATTCTATTTTCATAACTTTTTTGATATCTGGGCACGCCCAACTAACCATCAGCGACAATATTGATATATTCTAATTGTAGAAAAATTAATTTCTTTACCACAAGATTCATAACAAAAATTTAACATGTCACATAGATGCCACGCGGTTTTCTATAAAGTAACACAGTAATAGAGTAGTCCCTTGAAGGATATCCGATATTATTTGTAATTGAAGAGAAAAATATAGCTGTCAATTTGTATAACCTGCTATATGTAATAACTAATCATGCGACAATTTACTGAGTGAGTATCTTCTGTTTGAATATAAATAGTTGTTCATTGATTAAGATCGGTTTATTTACGCGACATTTTTTAGCACACATGCTATTCTTAAAAGAAATAATTTTGCTTTTTAATCAAAATAAAGCATAAATAATAAGTATTTTATTAAATTGCAGCTAATTATGTTAAATTTGCATAAAATAAATGTAATAATTGAGATTATTGATTTTAGAATTTTTTGTACTAAACAGACAGAATATTCACATTAATAAGTAACTTGTACAAGCCAGTCCAAAACATACGAACAATAAGATGAGAAATGATAAAATTTGTTCTCAAACGATTTGGAACAGATCTCTATCGATGATCACAGATTTTATTCGTAAACAAATTAGCTTCTCAATTCGGCTAATCAATAAAATACAATCATTCAAGACATAAATATTCGTATAAAATTTTTACAAAATTGAAAAATTAGCTGAAACGTTCACGATATATTTTTTTATACGGACATTTTGCTAACCAGTAGTTTGAGAAAACATGTTTCAATATGGACCCAATGCTAAAATTACGTCTCACAATATATATCGTTTAAATATGTAGGAATGCTCAAGGGAAGACCTACAGAAATTATATATAAAATAATATGAAACATATATTGCGCTGGAAAGTATAACTGTGCGTACTTTTAAGTATATTTTTAAGAAAAGAAAGTGCGCGCTCGCGCGTATCTGAGCCGCTTAAAGTCATGCGTAAAATCTGTTTGTAAAAACGGAAATTGCAATATCAATGTATGTAGTATGATGCAACAATTAGAATCCAGAATATCGTATCGTAACCGAACAATTAAGAAGGAATCTGGAAAGGCGTGCCATAATCTTAGATGCGAGAATAAACGTGCAAATATTAAATTGACGAATGTAATGTAAAATATAAAGTATCTAATAAAAAATGTATGTATGATATGTGTGTCGATGCGTTGCAACGGTGATCTTCGATGCGTTGATTAATTTCACGCGTATCGCAGCGAAATCAGCGATGGCGAACGGGCTATAATCGCCGACGTAGTATTAATTGGTTGTGATTAGGTAGAGAAGGTCGGAAATTAGTTTCCGAGCTGACAAGGAAAGTAGTTAATGCCTGTTATGTACCTCTAAACTGTGCTGTGTTATCTTGAATTAATATGTTGAAAGGTTTGCTACTGTTTTCCGTTAGAAAATCACATCTGTAAACGTGGGCCTACGCTAAAGCCGGACGAGATTGTGAAACGAACTTCGTACTTGTGCGAGAATTAATGATCGTCATTAATGGCGACGAAACTTGTCTGAAACATTTCCAAGCCGGTGTAAAGGTAAAGCGTGATCTGCGATATAAGATGCGGTGTACTGATAGCTACGATCTTTTTTTTTTTGAGAAAGATAACAAGCAGCGAATGAAAGCATCAAAGAAGAAAGTTCACATTAGAGAAATTTGTACTAGAATTCCATTCTGTCATTGTACTGTGTAGTGGGCGCCATTAAAGTCTAATTGACATGATGTATAATTAATAAATTAATTGATAATTATATGTAATTTATGTACAATATACATTTACTCCTTCATCCTCTAGTTTTGTAGTCAGAATTAATCGTATTTGTACATGTATTAGGAAGTTACAAAGCCGCAATTATCGTTTGCGTATCGATATCACTTAATTGAGATCAAAATATTTATGTTTGTTATTATCCGCACCTTGTTGTTACGTTGTGTTTAGCGAATCTTCTCGTGTACAGTTACAGTGCGGTTTTGACGAACACGAGCTTCCCATTTGAAATTGCACAAGTATCACCAGATACGTCGCTACTGTACCGACCAGCTGATAATCAAAATTGTGGATTATAAGAATCTAATTCACTTAGATGCCAAGATAAGCTATCAATGCGCATTTCGAGCGATATTCTAAATATTCTCACCGAATGGAGGAAAGTGTTATCGAGCACGAAGTATCCGCTAGCTGTGAACTGTATCTTGCGATGTAGCAGTTGAAGCGAAAATTGCTTGAGCTGCAACAAATCTACAATAAATGTCGTTACGACGAGTACGATCGTTGGCAGCACTTCATCTATATTACCTCTGACTTCGCCTCTTTGCCAATCGTGCAACTTAAGAGATTATGCACCACATTGCCCGTTTTTTCCATCTACAATAAAATTCGTAATTGGAATATCACGTGATTTCGTAAAATATTTTGTTTTATGTTTTTTTTTTTTCAGCGAGTCGATTAGAGTACGATGCAAAATCGCGCAAGCTGTTATTCCGATTATCCTACCTCTTTCAATATTTTAGTAATCCTGTTGGTGAAGAGAGAAATGGGATACATTAAGAATATTAACCACAAGACGGTATTACTGAAAACTTCGTACTCTAAAACCTCGTCGGACATCAACAGAGGCGAGAGAAGATAATAGCCGTTGTATATAAGTGTCAAAAAGAGGAAAGAGATGCCAAACAGTATTGGCAGTGAGTAGAAGTCCGACACGTCCTGAGAGATCTCGCAGAGGTGGCAGTGCGCATCTCGCAGCTGCAACAGTTGATGAATGGTGGAATTGCTGACGACGATGCGGCGCGTCTGACAGAGCGACTGCGGTCGCTGATCCGACGTGCTGACCTTGGACAGACTCTGTATCGCTCGGTTCACATCAGCTAAGTTTGCCTGAATGATGGTGACTAGCAGGAAGTACTGCATTATCAACCAGCCTACGTGAAACGTCGGCAATATGTCCGTCAACCAAGAAATCGGGGTCGACTGGAAAGCTATGACATCGGTGACCATCAGCACGATCAGTAGGCAACCCTTTAAGATGTAGATGATGACCACAGTACAGAGGACACGCTGTCGTCGCAGCGGAGGATACAGTCGGTACAGATAGTCGATCTCGTGCTCGATGGCCATCAACCGATTGGCGATTCGCACCAGAGATTTCTGGTCGATGCAGAAGCTGAGCAGAATCGTGCAGATCACCACGGTGCCGAGTATCGTTTGCAAAATCTCGATGCCCACCGTCAAGTTGGTCTTGTTCTCATACTCCATATTAACTCTGTACGGTATCGACAGATAGTTCGAAGAGATCATTAAGGTGATGAGCACGGCGTTGTAGATTATCCCGATTTCGGAATATTGAAATGTGCACGACTTCTTCTTTCTCTGCACGACGATACGATGGGCGAATGTGGCGAGACCGATGAGCTTGAAAAATATTATCAATATTCGAAGTGTCCAGAAAGAATTTTCATGCGGTCCTGATTTTATCTTTATCGGTTTCTGTTTACTAATTTTTTCCGCAAGAATGTTTATTTTGTTCAGACTCTCAAAGAAATTGGGCATCTTGGCATCCATGAAGACTAAATTTTCAATCGACAGAGACATTTTTCCAATAATTATTTTTCTCCATGATTTATTTTAAAATCAGTGTCTAATTTTTCTCCATCATATGCTGTCAATTTATGTATATTCATGCCTCCTTTTCTTAATATTTCCTATGTTGTAATATTTTAATTACATTCGTATCGATCCTTCATGTTTTGTGCAATAATTATTTTTACCAGATGTTTGTGCGTAAATATTTTGTCGATGTACACATTTTGATATAAAATCTTTCTCAACATATAGAGCAATCGCTTCACAAATAAATAATTTGTATTTAAATAATCTAAAAAATACCCGTTTTTTTTTATCGATATCTATCTTTCCAATTGTTACGAGTCCAAATTAAATGTTGTTCTTTTAACGTCATATACGCCTAATTACAAATCTAATAAATCCACGTATACTCGAATCAACATTGCACTTTAAGCATGCGAAGTGGCACTGAACACTATGTAACGGGAAATTTCCGTAAATGACTTTGTCGCGACCATCATGTATGCAAAACATTATTAAATATTTACTCTATGATAGTCAGAGGAATGTGATGAAGAACATGAAGTCAACACTTTATTCTATATCGACCGATACCGATCCTGTGATGGAATCACCGATTGTGCCAACTAGCAGGTGCGTTATGTTACACATTGTTAGTAATTGTTAGTAATATCCACTGAAGCTCGCTAGAATATTTATTCTATCATGTGCTCGCGCATATGGCATGTGATATGAAAGTACGATATGAATAGAACAGAATACACACCATTCGTGTGCTCTCTTCTACTACAATGTTGGATTATCGCAGTAATTAAGGAATCAAAAATAGCATAATTGCATACAGTCGACAACGTCGACATACATCAAGTTTTCATAAAACGTATAAGGACAAATAATATCGAACATCTAAAAATATCTCACTTTAGAAAAATATACTCATTACAAAAATAAAAACTCACATCTATGCACATTTTACTGCTAGATAGGATATTTATTTTATTGTCGACGAGAATTGATATTATCTGGTGATTTATCTGATCTAAAGTCACTTGTGAATTGAAGAACTTAATATATGGAACATTGTTTGAACCTCCGCGATAATTTTCATTAACCAATGCTATGTGGTGCAGAAAGCAATAATATGTGCAATAACTTATTTTTAATAATTGTCATAAATGTTTTTCATGTAAATTATCTGTACTATTAATTTATATAAGTTCCTATAATAATATAGAAAAAAATTCAAAGATCTCAAAAATATTCATAAAAATTAAATATTTTCTTTTATTATTATTTAATTTAAAATTTGTTTAAATTTTTTCCCCGTTATGTACTTTATCAATCAACTTTATACATCAATCTATACATCCTTATATGAAATGAATAAAAAATTCATTCAAATAGTTTGTTAGTTGATTAAACAATCCAAAGCTAGATTTGAAACAAAATTTCTAAGCTAAAAGTATTAAAAAATATATAATAATATCTATATATATATAAAATTATTATAAAATTAATAGATTTTAAAGTAATTCTATACACTTAAACTATTCATCAGATAATACATTTAAACAAAATGTTAACTCGGATTATATATTGGTAGATTATCTAGTTTGCAGTATATATATGTACATAAGGGCATAATTATAATTGTTAAATCGATAAAAGCTTACAATGAGTATAGATACGTAGGAATATTTTTAACAAAACAGGAATAAATCATATGGACGAGATGAGATAAAATAAAATTCCAAATTGCAACGATTAAACAAATTATTGGAGCTAAATAAAATATGATGAAATAACTGCAGCGAAGACTGAGAATCTATGAGAGTATAGTTCGAAGCACGCTTCTATATAAGTCAGAAAAATAGAGATTCAAAGAACATCTTATACAAAAACTGAAAACTGAGATGGTTGTTATAAGAAGATCAACGAGAATTTCAAGACTAGAAACAATACGAAACAAATCAATAAAAAACCAGATGGATATACAAAACCATAAACGACTGCATCAATGGGAAAAAATTGATCTGATACAGAACAGGTACGATAAATGTCTGAAGAACAAAAAAAAAATCTTGGAATAAGAAACCTTACAAAAAAAAGAGAAAGACTGAGAAAGACATGTCTGCAAGGCATCAAATAAGAGCAAGAGAAATCAATACACAATAAAAAAAATATACGGTAAAATGTACATCAGAAAATTGAATCAATTATACAAATCGCTGTATAAATAACTGTATCAATAAGCACAATGTTTTCATTATCAATGTGCACAATCAAAGTGCACATTTAAAACTGTGTTTTAACTATCACCCTTTTATAACAATCTTAAATTTGCTAATAAAGTTAAGTAAGAATATATTTATACATACCAGAATCATATTAAATTCATCATATTATATTATCAACATTTGTATATCTTTATAATTTCTGAAATCAATTTTTTATCATTTATGCCGTAACATTTTCTTTTGTATATATATATATATATATATATATATATATATATATATATATATATATATATATATATATATATACATATTGTATATATTTCATATTTGCAAAAATGTAATCGTAAAATACATTTCTTAGCAATAATATAATCAATATTACAAATAAAAAAATCAATAAGCAAATATAAATATTTGGCAAAATTATATATAGTGAATAAATTAACTCACCAGTTGTTGCACTCTAACTAAATACGCTCTTAGCTATACCTAGAAAAAGAAATTATATATTTTAATTATTATAAACTATTTTAAAAATGTGTGTCAATCATTACATATTATTTAATTTCCATTTTGATAAGATATAACTACATACAACAAATTGTATATATATATTTTACATATTTTAATAAATACTTTCAGACATTTTCATGAATATTTAATAATCATAAATTTCATAATTGTTATCTCAATTATGTATATATTGAAATAATGAGAAAATAATTTTACTCACCAGTTACAGTGTTGTAGTTTGCTCCGTCTGCTTTTGTTTGAATACTGCAAATCCACTTCTGCTCCATCGAAAAATTAACGAATACTTACACTTAATTACACACACTACTAAAATCAACTCCACTGCATTTAATTTCTTACATATCGTGAATTTATTACACCGCGGTAAACGAAACGCAAACGCCAGAAATAAATACACTGCTGCAACACGTCCACGCACTCAATATTGTACAACTAGAAGAAAATAAAACAAACAATGATTATTTTAACAATCGCACAAAAGTCATCCTCGAAGTCGAAGAACGAACAATTAAATTTGTTAATAAAATTAATCAAAAATATATTTATGCACAGAATCATATTATAAATTCATATATTATATTATTAAAACTTATCTTTATAAATTCTGAAAGCAATTTTTGCCATAATTTATGCCATAACATTTTATTTTGTATATGTATGTATTATATATTTCATATTTTTAAAAATTTTACGATTTTATAATAAATTATTTAAACCGCATACATAATTTGTATAAACTTTAAAAAGTTTTAGCATTAAGATAGTAAAAAAATTATTTTATATTTTATTATTTATTTGCAAAACTGCAAGTTGTAAAAATGTGATTGTCAAAGCACATTTCTCAGCAATAATGTAGTTAATAAAAAATCAATAAGCAAATATCATTATTTACAATATCAATATTTTGCACAATTATATATATACAGCAAATAATAAATAATGATAAATAAATTAACCTCACCAATCATTGTTCGGTTCCGTGCATGCTGCAGGTTCTATTGTTGCTCCGTCAAAGAATTAACAAATATTTGCACTTAATTTTACGTACTAAAATAAAAAAAATAACACTTTAGTTGATTTATCATTACTTATTGTGCTCAACATTGTATACACAATTAGAGAGAATAAAATAAACAATAATTGTTTTAATTTAAAATAAACATTGTATAAATAACAATTATTAAATTTTTTGTTACCTTTAACGATCACGCAATAGTTTACATCAAAGTCAAAGAACGAATAAGTTTACAATATGACAATTTAATCGGATTTAATTCCATCACGCTAAATTTTCAAAATGCTACATCTAATAGAAAATATATTATGTAGCAGAATTTGTACTCACTAGCATTTTACCGTTTTCAATCCACAGTGTATCCACTGTGCATTTATGATTAATTACGGACATCTACGATGAATAATACGTTTTAGCAAGCGCCTATCTTCTTAAACGGTATCTTCCACAAAAATTCGCACTCGTTACACACTTTTAATGAGTAAAATACGCGATTAATCAGAGAACGTTCACACTTTGAGTTCCGAACCGCAGTAATAACCGTTATGGCCGGAAGCGTGTGAATATGCCGATAGTCGATATCGCTGATATGTGCGCCATCTTTTGACTACATCAATAATTATTTCACTAAAAAAAATTCGAAACAAAGCGCGAATGCTTTGCGATTAATAGCGTATTTTGTTCATTTCTTATAGTTGCATAACAAGTGAAAACTTTTATTAGAATTACTAATTAAAGAAAAAAATATAATTACAATTTTATATGTGTAATATTTGCACATATAATATGCGATATAAACATTTATAACTTATTTAAATTTTAATTAGATAATTTTTATCCATATGCGAAATATTTTTATACAAAATATATTTTTATCTTCTAACAAATACTATTAATGGCAAAAATAAGTCATATAAATGCCATATAAATGATACACAAAGATTTCAAATTTTATTGTGCATACATATTTGTTTTTTTTATAAAAATAACTGGAACAATAATTCTGTATAATAATATTTCATCATATTATTTATCGTTTCAAATGTGTGATTTTATTAAGAAGATTACTTTTACAAATTTTTTTTATAGATATGCGATTATAAAATTACAATTATCCTAGAAGTACTAAATATACATTTAACTATAATTTAACTTGATTAAATTTAATGTAATTATAACATTTCTGTTCTATTTTTACTTAAAAGAAAACAACTTTATTTCTGACTTGAAGGATAAAATATAGTCAACATCCATAATGTTATAGCCTGTTGTTTATTTAAATTTTCGACAAAAATATCTCGTTATAAAAATTGCATCAATAAATTTTCATACTTTTTTCCATACATTGCATATATACCATTAATTATAAAATAAGATTTAATACTTACCAATCGTAAAATGTTTATAATATCGTATTTACGTGTTGCCCATGATAAAGGTGTGATAATATTCGAAATTATTGTTCATTAACTTCTCTAATTTGTACAATTTCGATACCTTTTCACGAACACTTTATAATTTTATTGTAGTAGATTTTGAGTTTTATTTAAAGTTATTTATTTATTTAAATTTATTTTGTAGGAACAAATAATTGTCATAAACATTTAAAGATTCATTTAGATAAAAAGAAACGATAGCATATTTGTTTTCCTTTAAAGATATCTTTCCCTTCAAATATAATGAAAATAAGAAAAGTTGTTTTCATGTAACAGAAAGAAAAACTTTTAACATACGATAAAAGCGAAAAACTTCCAGCGAAGAACTATTTCTGAATGATTCATTACATTATAATTTTTATGCAATACGTTGTTCATTGCTGACATTAATTATAATAACTACATAAGTAAATAAGTTTTGTGTGAGAGTAACAGTATTTATGTGTTTTTTACAAGATTTTTTTCCATGGCACTGGCCGAATATACAAAGACTAGTATTTCAATACATGACAGTTTTATTTTACTGTCAAGTAAAATACTATACGTCTCATCCTATTTTCATTTACTGTCAGTCACCTTTGCTCTGTAATATTTGACAGTAAATATTTGCCTGTTTGCATTGCGCATTCAGTGATTGTAGATATTGTATCAAGTGATAATGTGAGCATATTGTGATGATATAAATGTATTATTTACTCACAAACTCGTGAAATAAAATATAACACACTCTGGCTTATTCCAGAAATTAATTTTCACATGTAAACGAGTAAAAGTGATATCGATCGCATTCACAGTTATTTTATAATTATTGTTAATTGGGAATATAGTATGACTAATTTATAATACTAATTTACATAATCATAAGAATAGTAATATAATTTTTGTTTTACACTTTTATTACGTAATGCGAAATATCAAGATTTCATATAATTCAAATAAGTAAATAGCGTATTGCGCTAATCTGCTGTTTTTTTTTTGTTAAATTTTTATACTATATCCATTGTATATCCACGTAATCATGTTTTATGTAATGTATATATGAATAATTCATACTTTTCAACACTATTTAATTGTGATAATAGTACATTATTTTCACCGAATACACACAAAACATTTAATTTTCATAAATTTTATTTTTGTTTCTTTCAAAAATATTGTTGCAGCTACATTTCTAAATGTGTCATTAAAATATCTAAAAATTGCAATAACACATAAAATAAGATGTATCAATCAAGAAGAAAATTACAAATAATAATTCAAATAGTGCTTTGTGAATGCGAACGATATATTTCAGTTATAAATTCTTTTTTAATACCGTAATATAAGAAAATAAGCAAAGGTTAATATTACCAGTAAAGTCACATTAACCACAAAACATTTGTTACTTGGCTTCCTCATTTTTAGGACTCTCACTTCTAGTAAACACTCCTACTTTCGTTTTGGTAATCGATTCTGACTCTGTTTCAGTTTCTTGTGGTTGTGCTACCGATTCTGCTTCTGCTTTCGGTTCTGGTTCAGGTTCTGCTTCTGGTTCTACTACCGGTTCTGCTTCAGTTGCTACATCTGTATCCGGTTGACTACCATCTGCAGGCGAATCTTCCGATCTACCTGCATCTGCATACCAAACATTTTTACATATAATAAAAATATGTAATAGAATGTTTTTTAATCTTCTTCGTTTAATATGTATCACCTGTAATCATTATAAAACTATCCCATTAAAGATTGCAAACCTAATTGCTTACTGTATAATCGTAAAATAGTAAAATATATTACCTTGAATGGCAGGATCTGACATCAATGAAAAAACTTTTTCTTCGGGCATATTTTTTGTTAATTCTTTGAAGTGGAACACTTGATTTGAAAATGATTGCCAAAATGACTGACCTTCGGGTATGGTAAACATAGCCTACGCAATTGTTATTTTATAAATATGTGCTCAGAGAGAAAAAAATATATTTATGTAATATGTCTTTTATATGTGACTATTACCTTATACTTGTTATATATGTGTTCAGCTTTTTGTCTAATCTGCTCTGCTTTTTGTTTAAAGATAGCCTGAAAAGAATATCACAAATATAGTAGACAAAAAAAAACAAAATTACAATGTATTACAATGCGTGTGCGCATGTTATATATATATACCCCTTCTTCTTCATTAAGTTTCCATTCCCCTAAGTTGCCAATATATCGTCGGAGCTGAAATAAAAAAATAATCAATTAGAGAAAAAAATTCTTTAATATTAAAATTATCGAACAAAAGCGCAAGTGCCTTTCAGAGTCAGAGCAAGTTGTTCATTGTATTTATAATTGTATTAAAAAATATATTGTACTGTAACGTGAATTTTGCATTGTCAAATCTTATCATTTTATTATTTTATAGCAGAGAGTTATACTGAAGATGATCTTATAATTGACAGAAACGTTCGTAAATATTTCTAAATACAGTTATAACTAGCATAAACAACTTATATTGGTTCTAAAACCTACTTGCATCCTTTTGTTTTAGATTTGCTCAATCATTCGAGCCTTATCAAATTTTAAAATTATTAAAACTTTTAGTATATATATTTATATACCCTTTTCACTGTTTCCACAATATGTGGATGTTTCTTCAGCATTAAAGGATCAATGGAAAGAGCCAAGATATCGTCCATCGCTTGTAAGCATTTATCTGTATTGGCTCGATCCAATCCCAAATTAGATTTTATTTGAGCATCTAATTGCAGCAATTGAGCCTCTATACGAAGCCACCTAAAATATGACATTGTGAATATGAGCATTCAATTATGATTAAGATGTGCAAACTAATAATTAAGAATTAGTTAAAGCTGCTAGAGCCTGAGCTAGATAATCTTGCTCTGTTTTTTATTTTACATAAATGTAATATATATGTACGTTTCAGCCATGCGGGTTATGGCCATCTTCAATGTGTTAATAACAATTTGAAAAACTATGTTCTAACTATATTCGTATATCGTATCTGTATTTTCGCTGATTTCCGCAATTCGTGTTTTAATGAGTTTTATTACATACGCTGTTTGGTTTTGGTGGTTTACGTCATTTTTATTGTTAAGAATCCGTGTCCAGTGATTTTAAATTATGCGTTTTTCCGTTCTCTTCGATAGTTAAAAAATTATTGTGTTTTGATATTAGGCGTCGACCTTAGTCCCACTTAATACAATTTATTTATCATAATAACCCTCTCTCTAATCCTTCCTCCCACAGGTACTAACTCCTACTTTTATGAATTTCTCCTTCCTCCTTCCCCATTCATGTCCTTGGACCTTGTTTGTTTCTACTCACAGTCTATCCTGTACTTTTCAAACAACTAGTTCTTTACTTTACTTACGCAAAGAGACAGAACAACACAGCATTTTTACAAATATGACACTTCTAACAAGCACTATAATACTACATTGAGGTATGTTGATTTTCAAATAAATAAGTCTACCAATACTATTATAACAAAATAATGTTAGATAACTAACGATTACAAGGTCGACGCCTAATATCAAAACACAATAATTTTTCAACTATCAAAGAGAACGGAAAAACGCATAATTTAAAATCACTGGACACGAATTCTTAACAATGAAAATGATGTGGACTACCAAAATCAAACAGCGTATGTAATAAGTCTCATTAAAACACGAATTGCGGAAATCAGCAAAAATACAAATATGATATGTGAATATAGTTAAACATAGTTTTTCAAATTGTTATTAACACACTGAAGATGGCCACAACCCGCATGGCCAAAACGTACGTATATATTACATTTATGTAAAATAAAAAACAGAGCAAGATTATCTAGCTCAGGCTCTAGCAGCTTTAACTAATTCTTAATTATTGGATAATAAAAAAAGCCACTAATACTATTAAATTATTGATTGTGCAAACCAATTTGTATGCCGTGTTTTTCAAAGCAAAAATTGTATCTTACACTTTTACAAGAATTTATATCTTTCGATTGTGACGTCTGAATAATATAGTAAGATTTCTTCATACCTCAGTTTATATGTTTTGCGATGCACAGACCCTTCTTTTGTTAGAGGTTTCTCATCTTCTGGTACGGGTACATTAAAATCAAGAGAATCCTTCACTTGTTCTGGCAATATCTCACCAACCTCTAATTGTGCTTTCAATTTCATAGCATTTCTTGCAGTTGACCAATCCCATTGTGCACGAGCTTTTTCACTTTCAAAAGATTTCGGCCTGTTTACATCTAGCTTAATGCCCACGTGTTCCCCAGAATATGTACGTGCTAAGAGGACACGACTTGAAGATGCAGCAGTATTCGATACTACGGTTCCATCAAGTATCGATTCCTCACCGACATTATTTCTTTCTATAAATTAAATAAATTGTATCTTTCAAAAACAAAATAATTTAAATTGCAAAAAAATTAATAAAAAACTACCCATAAAAGAGGAAACTACAAGGCTATCCATGCTTACTTTCAATTGCAGCTCTTTTTTTATGCATCACATTTGGTGTTGTTTGATGTTCATTAGAATCTTCATTTTTCGGTTTACGACCTCGTCCAGAATGTTCTAAAAAATATATTTGCAATAGTATTATGACATAACTTTAAAGATAAATTCTTAGAAAATAATCGACTTTCTCATCAATTTTTTAAAATTTATTTATTAATTTTTAATTACGACTTAAAAACAAAATTTGGTAAAAGAAAAAATCGTATTAGAAATCGCTTACAAATATGACGTTTCAAGGATATCAGGTTGTTTTGAATCACCTTTACATCACAAGAATGTGGGGAAACATTACTATTAAATTAAAAAAATATATATATAGTTCTAAAAATTTATTAATTGAAGATTATATGCGGGATACATTAACACACAAGTACTTTGCTTTCTGTATACGAATTAATGATAATTGTTCCAAAAGAATTAATCGTTTTAATTCTCTTGTAGACAAATTGCGCGTTTCATCTGATTCCCCAAATCTTGAGTATTTGACGGATATTTCTAATGAAGAAGTCTGCGTTCCTCGATTCACTATTAAAAGACATTTAAATATAAATCTCTTTAATGTATTCCTATCCCTTTATATACATTAAGTATTTTCAAAGTATATCTATCCAAAATTTTATTATGATGATAACTGTAACATTATTATCTCTTTTCCATATTTTACAATGTCGATAGTAAACAAGAATATTTTTATCATTAAAACATGATACTTCAAACTCAATGCATTAGACACATTATACATTAAGAGGGAAGGAAAAAAAGTCGATTATTTAATATCAAAATATTGTGTAGATCTCTATTGTAAATATTCACTATTTTATATATAAAACTTGTAACAATGGTTACAAAATATCAAAGAAAAATTCTTTGTGAAATATATAAAATAAAAAATATTGTGTTGTAAATATCGTTTTTACCTATATTGGTTTCCGTTTCATCTGAGCTTGAAAAATCTGCAAAGCGTTTTGGTTTAATCTTGCGACCACTGCGACTAACTACTTCTTTAGGCGATTCCTCGCCCTGTGAATCTAGAGCAGCTTCTTGTTTCGATGCATCACTTGAGGCTTTTCCTCTACCACGTTTCTTCTTTTCTGGTACATCCTATTGCATTGCCATGTTTTTTTTTATAAATCGTTTTATATAATTTTTAAATAAATTTACTTTAATAATTTATTTTCTTAAGATATGTATTTTATAAACAATAGTGTAAGGAACAATCGCACAAAATGTTTAATCTTTAAAAATATTTGTCGGCAGTTCCTAAGTTTCTCTTGGAGTATACTTTTCAATAACTGTTCTCTTGCACAGTATTGTACAGCATATATTAGATACTCCAAAATATTAGTTTTTATGTAAATAAATAACAAACAACAAATATGACTTACAGGAGTGTTAGAGGCAGATGTAACAGTTTTTCTTTTCAAGGATTTCTTTTTCTCCCCTTCGTCTATTATTAAGGAACCAGAGTCCATATCACTGTCTGCAGCACTGATACTTGGCAAATCTATAGTCACAGGACCTCCTATAGACAAAGCACCATTTGTAGTAAAAAATTTTGATCGTCAAAAAAATCATGCATCTATTTATAAACATTTATATAAATTTCATAAAATAATTATTTTAATATAAAAATAACATTAATAATAATAAAAATAACATTAATCAGTACCTTTAATAGCAGCAAGATCTGCCAAGGGCTTATTCCTGTCATTCTTAAGTTCTTGTTCAAGTTGCTGTATACCCTCATGAAAGAACTTTCGTCGACTAGGTTTGCAAAACTTTGCTTTGTTCTCGACATAAGAGTGCAACTCTTCAACTTTGCAAACAGCTCTAAAGTTTAAAATTTTAATATTTAATTGCATAATCATAAGATCATAAATATTCTCTTTAATAACCATTACGTGTAATAGCATTTCAGAGAGAGTAATACTATATCAATTTGTTTTAATTAAATTTATAAACTTACGTTTCTCCTGTACCGTAAAAGTAAACATTGTATCTAGTATTTTTGGAATTCGGGTCACTAACTTTTTCAACCTATAAGCAAATGAATAATATATGGATGTGAATAGAGATGTACACGTATTACACGCCAACTTGAAATAAGGTTACGTTTGTTTGCTGAGAATGCATCGTATAAATTCTATTGAAATATATAATTTTAAAGATTATATACAGTTGAAAACAATTATAGAATATTAATAAGAATATAAATAGCGACATTTGTTGCGTAGTATGATCGGTTAAATGCAATTTAGCTAATTGTCATTCATTTCGTATCAATCCCGCGCTTTTCTTACTCTTGTGAGAAAAACGCGACATTACGCAGCGTAACCGCGCGTATAAGAAACATGATAAACGCAATATATACGTAATTTATATAATCTCTCCTTATGTCATCGTAATCAGATATTTGTGTAAAACAATTTGATAAAATTGTATACAGATCAGGCATGTTAATATTTTTGTTTCATCGAGACAAGATCGGGATTCGGTGCGAACTTACTCTGGCTGGCCATGGCGGATAACCTCGAACTTTTGCAAACACCTTGTCACCGGAGAAGAACTTCTTTAGCAGCTTCACCATGGCTATAAACGATCCGCGATCGCGGCACCAATTTGTTCTATCGCACTCTCTTGATTGCCGAACACTGCGTTAATAATATAACGATGTTAATTTCGGACAAACATCACACAAAACACCGCGACAACCGCCATTTGCACGACAATACCGAAAACACGACCACGATACGACGCTCAACTTCTATTTGTCGCGGCGCGACGTAACATCATGGCAGCGCCAGCAAGCTGCGGATCTACCCGCGCAAAGTCGAGCGTATGATGCGTAACCAGAGTAGTCAAATGTGCAATTGTTAATTAGCAATACGTAATCTCCCATTAAACTAAATAACGTCTTTAATATCATCTTAGCGGTTACAGAGATTAGTATTAGGACCACTATTTGTTCGTCGGTTAATGTTAACCGACGTTAGAAAAAGTGGCCCATCATCGATTTTCATACAAGTTTGCTTTTTTTGGAGATCTATATCTCTTATTTTTAGTTGGTATTTTTCTTTTTTCTGTTTTTTTCTTTAATGTATAATTAATACAGCTAGAAAAAAACAAATATATATAAAAAAAAAGAGATATACATGAAATGTAATTATAAAGAACAAATCTACGGTGTGTTCGTAGTTTCATATTATCGCTCAATGTGAATCAAACCTTAGAATAAGAAGCAGCACGATTACAATGCATTTGCGAACGCGTGGTTAGGACGCGACTCAATGGATACGACTTGCCTGTCAAATATGCGAATATTCACGCGACACTTATTTCGAATGCGCTCGGCAGCGTTTTAAGAGTACGTGCGATGTTGTGCTCGACGACGGACTTCAATTTCATACGTAAACCGTACCGGACTTCCACAAGAACCGTCGAGCAGAACGTAAGTACATATCACGTCACGTTCGTTTGTAATGCATTACGCGTTCATCCGTGTTTTCTTTTTCATTTTCGGAGTCGCCAATTTTCCGCGGCATACTAGCGTACGTCGCATGATATATGACGCGCTTTCGATTTTTTATTATACACGTCTTTCCTTTGTTCATTTTCTGCTATTATCTTTCGGTTTCTTGATGTTGTATCTACCTGTCATGTGTAAGGAATTTTGATCAATCAATTTTATCATAGATAAGATTTTGCATTATTTATATTATTTTGTGATGCTTAATTAGCATTACATCATAATACTACTACTAATTAAACTGAAATTTCTAGAAAACTATATAATTATGATTAATCAATTTTGTCATAGATAAGATTTTGCATTATTTATATTATTTTGTGATGCTTAATTAGCATTGCATCATAATACTACTACTAATTAAACTAAAATTTCTAAAAAATTATATAATTATGATTAATCAATTTTGTCATAGATAAGATTTTGTACGACTTATATTATTTTCTGATACTTAAAATTTCATTGTGATATTGCTTAAGATTGTTGATTAAACTTAAATGTTTGAGAAAATTACCATATAATTATACACACACACAAATTGGATGATTAAAAGTATAATTGTAAAAAAATTAATGTTTAGTGAATATATATTACACATATACTTATCGATAAGAGTTAGACAAGAAAATAAATTAAAAGCTGAAAGAAAATAAGATATTTTTGCAGACTGTGATAAATATAAATATTAAATACATAGTATTGATAAATCAATATTCTGTAAATAATAAAAGGAATATATATCGCATTTTGTATAGTGATTTTGTCAAATATAAATCTAAACATTATAAATTTGTAACATTTGGAAATTATAAAAATTTATAATATTTTATTTAGTTCTCTTATATTATTGAAACTAAAAATATATGAGAACTGTAAAATTATGTTTTATTTAACTTTTTAAATTTTAATATTTTTTTTAATTACATATAATAAGCAGATGAACTCAGAATCTCAAGGGCAGTGTTGTATGTTACTGCGATGAAAGATGCCAATTCTTAAGGAGCAGTGCTTCTGTTGAAGTGGTTCTGGTTCAAGAGGCCTGCTAAAGCACAATGAGAGCCATTGTATCAATTGCGCTGATCACACTGCTGTGTGGCATAAGCTTAGCCCCTATCAATGCCGATAGGATATGTGCCAGTAAAAGGAAAAATGTTGAAAATTTTTCTGTGAAACAGAATTCAGCAAGTATTTCTGAAGATGTATCCAATAACCATAATGTATGTTGCACAATAATAAGTTATAATAAATTAATATTTTCTAGTATTCTTTCTATTGAACAATTACAATAATTAGCTTGGAATTATGCAAAGTTTAATCAATAAATAAAAAAGCTATCACTTTAATTATAAACAATATCTGATGTATTTTTTTACTTTAATTATGAAATATTTCAAATCAAATATATGTATCTCTCTTATTTTTAGGTAAGTGAAGATCTCCAATATGAGAGATGTCATAATAATAATTTCTGTCATGCCTTATGGCAAGAGGATAAGACTGCAAATGGTACTAAAATTAAAATTTTATCTCAAGGTATATATCGTAATATGAAGTTTAATTATAAGTAAACATTTCTTTGTAAATATTATCTGATTAAAATTTATGTATAT